TCTTATTTCGCTTCTATTATATATGTGGCAATTTGTAATGACTATAGGACATATTGTTTTATGTAGTGGAGATGTTACCAATGATAAGCACCTTAATATTTTTTTGTGCTGGATGTGTTTTGTGTAGTGGAGATGTTAACAATGATAAGCACATTAAATTTTCTTCTTCTAGATGTCGTATGAATAAAAAGTGACTCTTGCTTGACATATCATTTGTGGTTCATAGCATGCTATGTTTTTTACTATTTCACACATCATTCAACTAAATTTCATTAATATTGAGTCGGAGATACTAGAAAATTAATCTTACATCACCTAAAGTTTACATAAAGCAAACAGAGATACTAGAAAAGCTAAAACACTCAAAAAAGTGTTACCCTAGCTAGTAGCTTAACAAATTCATGTGTTGCTTCAATTACTCTTACACTTGATGCAAGTTGTCCAGATTCATATTTAATTTTATCAACATCTTCCACCAAATTATCATACCCGGTCATTCCTTCATCCAATGGTAGGTGCTGTGGTCAAGTTACCATTTCAGTGATATTGGATGAAATGGGGTAGCACCACTCCCAAAAGCCGCATACTTTTTGTGGATGATGACATACATAATACAGCTTCCCTGTGTTCTTCCATTTCTCTGTAATTCTAACGTCTGCTTTTTCTCCACACCCACAATATTTAATTGCATACCTTAGGTCTCTAAACTCACCAGAAGTAACCTGTCCAAGGTATTCAAATGCATAGTGAAAAAATATATAACCATATATAACAAATATGTATAAATAATGGACGAAAATAATAGAGTAGGCATGTCTTTTGTTGCAATAGATACTTGTACTTACAGTTCTTGGATGACCACCACTGTTGGTTGATGAAGCCATGGAATAAGCAGATATATAGAAGATTGAGGAAAATAGAAGTTTATGTGAAAGGAGATAATTTTGTACCTATATATAAGGGATTTTGACGTACAGGGGTTTTCAATGGTAACAAAGTTTACAAACGGTCATAATAGTAGTATATATATATATAGGTCAAAGTACTGATGCAAGTCTCAAGTGAAAGTACTGATGTAATGAAGTACTTATTAGGAAAATGACTTTGAATGCAAGGTAGGAAAATGTTGGGATTTACACTAGGAAAATGTTAGGATGCAAGGTCGGAAAATGTTGGGATTTACACTAGGAAAATGTTAGGATGCAATGTACGAAAATGTTGGGATTTACAATAGGGAAATGTTGGGATGCGAGGTAGGAATATTTTGGTGACGTGTATCCAAAAATAATATGTGATTAATAGTTGTGATATGATGAAAATGGATTCTACTTTAAAACCTTCATACATATGTAACTGAATACGAAATATTGCTATGAACTAATTAGTGTGATGCTGTGATCAAATTAACTTTTAAAGAATCTAGTTTAAGTAGTGATTTAACTATGAAAGTCAGACTTCCAGTTGCAAAACAATATATCAACAATACATATGTCTGTCCCAGCTGCAAAACATTGATTTACACAATTCAGTTTGACTAGTGATGTATGTAATTATCATAGTGTGTGGGAGAATATTTATTACTACAAAATATTTAATTTAGTATGCAGATCAAAACTAAACACTTGATTTCACTATATAATGAGTCAGCCGAAAGTTTTTGTGTTGGAATGCACAGTAGAGAAATGTTTGGATTCATCATACAATTTTTTTACATTGCAAAGTAAACATATACTGAAAGTAAATACATATATAAGGTCTATAAAAAGAACTTTTGATACTCGAAACAGAACTACACAAGGTAATACAAATCTTCCACATTTGGACCTAAATTGCAAAAGTAAACTAAAATACATCTGTAGAAAGGTTCGACAGAGGGACCTAAGTTCCCAAAAGGAACTACAAAAGGTAGTAGAAAGGTTCGACAGAGGGACCTAAGTTCCCAAAAGGAACTGCAAAAGGGTCCACTAGACCAAGTCCCCTTATCCTTCAGAAAGAATAGGAGCTGGATGAGGAACTTGAATCGGCAACAGGAACAACCTCGGTGACATTAGAGTCGTCGCCTACCCTCTGAAGGTGGCGCACACGTCTGTGTAACACCCTCAAGTGGTTTTTCATCCGACCCATTTCTGCAATAAGGTTGGCCACTTTTGCAGTCAGGTTGCCCATAGTTGCAATTAGGTTGGCCAATTCTGCAGTAAGGTTGTCCAAACACATAACCAATTGCGACCTTGTTGGAGGAGGATAAGGGAAAACAGGTGGATGGGAGATCTGAGCAGGAAGGGGGTGGTTACCCCACGCTCCTCTTCCCCCTCTTCCTCTATTGGTTGAGCTTGCTGAGAACATGTTTGATAATTTAGTTGTGGGAGAACATTTCCTTGCTGAGTATGTCTGCTTTTATAATGTTGAAAGTTCTAATGTTGGTGGTTGTTGATATGACCAGCAATTAGTGATGTAATTGTGATCTCTTTATAATGTTGAAACTTCTGATGATTAGTCCGCCACTTATTCTATTTAATGCAACAATACTTCTGTCCTAGCTGGTAAGGATAATTTGGGATACAACTTGGGAAAATGTTGGGATGTAGCAATTTTGTGTGTTGAGATACACAGTATGAAAATGTTGGGATCCATCATACGAAATTATTTGGATCCTAATGTTCGCCAATTTTGGGATTCTAGTAGGGACAAACTTGGGATGCACTTTCGTAAATTTTGGTGACGCACTGAATCAAATTATTATGTCATTAACAGTTGTGATATGATGAAAATGGATCATATTTGAAGACCTTCATACACCTATGTATTGCTTGTGAATTTGTGTTTTCATTTTTTACCAAACCCCTAACTGAATGTACTGTTGCAAATGTTTAGTTAATGTGATGTTATGATCAAGTAAACTTTTAGAGAATCTAGTTTAAGTAGTTATTTAACTATGAACGTTAGAGTTCCATGTCAGTATACTGAGAGGGCCGAAAGTTTACTCTGCCACTTATCAACAATACATCTGTATGACTCAGCTAGTAAACATTAATTTACACAATTCAGTTTGATTGACTAGTGATGTATGTAATTATCATAGTGGGTGAGAGAATATTGAATTTAGCATATATGAACATCAAAACTAAAGACTTAATTTCACAATATAGTGAGTCAGCCGAAAGTTTAGTCCCCCACTTATTCTATTTAATGCAACAATACATCTCTCCCAGCTGGTCAGGATAATTTAGGATACAACTTGGGAAAATGTTGGGAAGCAGCAAGTTTGTGTGTTGAGATGGACAGTATAAAAATGTTGGGATTCATCATATGAAATTATTTGGATCCTAATGTTTGCCAATTTTGGGATGCTAGTAGGGACAAACTTGGGATGCACTTTAGCAAATTTTGGTGACGCACTGGCTCAAATTATTATGTCATTAATAGTTGTGAAATGATGAAAATGGATCATATTTGAAGACCTTCATACACCTATGTATTGATTATGAATTTGTGTTTTCGTTTTTTACCAAACCCCTGACTGAATGTACTGTTGCGAAGGTTTAGTTAGTGTGATATTATGATCAAGTTAACTTTTAGAGAATCTAGTTTAAGTAGTGATTTAACTATGAACGTCAGAGTTCCATGTCAGTATACTGAAAGGGCCGAAAGTTTACTCTGCCACTTATCAACAATACATCTGTATGACCCAGCTGGAAAACATTGATTTACACAATTCAGTTTGATTGACTAGTGATGTATGTAATTATCATAGTGGGTGAGAGAATATTGAATTTAGTATATATGAACATAAAAACTAAAGATTTAATTTTGCAATATAGTGAGTCAGCCAAAAGTTTAGTCCCCCACTTATTCTATTTAATGCAACAATACATCTGTCCCAGCTGGTCGGGATAATTTGGGATACAATTTGGGAAAATGTTGTGATGCAGCAAGTTTGTGTGTTGAGATGCATAGTATGAAAATGTTGGGATTCATCATTTGCAAAACTATACATTTACTTGTGAAAAGTGAAAGCAAAAAAACCAATAGTTTACCAATTGCCAAATGCATATATCCACAAATACATAAAATCGTTTACAACAATTGGCAAATAACAGAAATATAAATTCCTCCAGTGCAACTTAACTATGCTAACCTACCAAACTAGGAAGAATATACAAACTTCATCCATACAACCCAATTCCCATTTGGAGGTAGTACCAACACCAAACTGCACTTAACTATGGCAGACGAATTCATTCAAAAATTCAGAAAACCAAAAGCTCCCTCCTTTGTTTTCTTACTGCAGATACCACAGTCATTGGTTAGCCCAATTAGAGATGTATGTAATTTAAAATTATCTTTTCGATACAGTGGCAGAGAATTAGACGAAGTCGACATGGATAAAGTAAAATACATAAACATTGCTTACTCAATATTTGAACAATTGTTGTTGAATTGGACGACTAATCTCTGAGTTTGGCAGTTGCGACATTTCAGTGGAAGTCAATTGCCCGAGGTTGGGAGCAGGTGTCTTTATTTATGACCGTGGAAAGAAATTGGAATTGTTAGATAAAATAAAGAAATAAAGACCTAAAATATATTGGTTTGACTAACAAATCATATTAAAATATATACCATTTGACTTCCAAAATTAGCCGTGCACGATTCGCCATACGAAGAAAGAGTACTAAATAGTTCAGATGAAAACAACCGTGAATCACCAATAGAACTTTACAACATTTTATAGTGTTCATTAGAAATTATGGGAATTAAATCTAGAAAGCGTGCTCCACTAATACAATGCAATTGATTCAACATAATTACCTAGTTACTTAATGGAGTAATGGGTTGCGAAAAATGAATACCGGGGCTATACGGAGGTTGGAAAGCCTGCCTATTGTGCATTATAGGTGGTGGTGGCATATAACATTGATGATGTACACATTCGCCTGGATTTTCATTGCCCTTCAACAAAAATTGTGTACTTCTGTTAGGTTACAGTAAACTTGTAAACAAAATTAACGAATTGCACAACTATCACGAAAATTAAGTGTTGGATATGATATAGTCGTAACAATACTAATATCGACTAATAGACATGTCTGACTACAACTGCCACCTCCCACTCTGGAGACCATGCTATCATTCGCTTTCTAAAAAACAATAAAATTCAATTTTTATTCGATTCAGTACACAACCAGAAACGACAAATAAATCCATAACATTAATGTAAAACAAGGACCACAATAATGTAAGTACAATATGAAAAGTAAACTAAAAACTTTTGGTAAATACCTCAACTATTCTTTTCATACACTTGCTCTTCTTCTTGGCATTTTTCTCAATGGGAGATTTGCACCTACGCATTTGTCCTTTAGATGTATCTTTCGTCTTGACGCCCACGGAAATTATTCCACTGTTTTTTATCTCCCCATTATTCTGCATTTTACCAGCCTTTCTACTGCCAACCAAAGTACGACTACAACTTCTTTGGACAGATTTTTTCCATTCCATTGCTTTTACTAATAAATCATTGTATCCCTCATTGTCTTCCAATGCAATGGAAGATATTTCGGTCAAAATACGACAAAGGGTCCTGTGTTGTCGCCTTACCTTAAGTTTAAGATCCATCAACACTTCACAGCCAAGAATCTTATCCAAGTTCCCATCTCTGGCTTTCCTAATCCACCTTCTTAATATATATCGAGAAGGCAATTCAATGATGTTCATACAATCCTTAAGGATTTTAAAATATGACTACACAAAAATTCATTCATTTCAAATTTACCACATGAACAAGATAATTCATCCTCAACTGTTCTAGTCACAGAACGTTGCATCCCATTACGACTAGTAACTTTATAAACACGTTGTCCATTGTTATCCATGTCACTGCAACTATTAACATTATCACTCACACAAGCTATTAAAAACTCTTCCTGGAAAAGCTGAAATATAACTTTTGTGTATGTCTCCCGGCTTTAAGTAACATGTCACACTTTGATTTAACTTGCGAAAGCCTCTGCACCAAATGGTACTCGGCTTCATACTCCTTGTAACGCTTATCCGACAACAACCTATCAAAATAGGTGAAGAAATCAGGAAGAATGAGTTGCCTCGATAAGTATTCCTTCAAGCGAGCTTTGAAACTTTCACTCAATTGTGTAGTGCGCATTCTGGCACACCACGTATATTTAACGAATGCCATGGCCCATCTATGTCTCAGGCTAAACAAATGCTCAAGCCATGTGTTACCAACAAGATCATACACCCTTAGCATTGAATCCCATTCTGACATAAATTGTTCCTCCTCCTCAATTTCGAACATTAATTTAGATATCACATTTTTGATGCGTTCATCACGTTTAAACAAGAACCCAACATGCTTTTGTGCATTTTGCATTAGATGCCACGTACATAGATGATGTTTTGTACCAGGCATAACCTAAAACATAAAATCATGTTTGAGTCATGACATTTAAAATAAACCCTAAAATCATGTTAGAATAATAAACATTTTTCCATTATTTACTTCATTGTATTAATTAGGCATTATAGGTATTTTCAGCATATGAAAAGGAGTGGAAATCTTAATTCAAGTTACCTACACAAAAGCCTTCGCCATTGCTGCATCTTGATCAGTCAAAATTGTCTTTGGTGTTTTTCCGGACATCGCTTTCAAAAAAGTATCAAATAACCACACAAAAGAATCTGCCGTCTCATCATACATAAGGGCTGCCCCGAATACAGCCGTCTCCCGGTGTTGATTAACACCCAAAAACAATGCAAAGGGACGGTTGCCATGTACAAGTTTGTATGTAGTGTCGAAAGTTACAACATCTCTAAAATGGCCATAATCAATTATCATTTTAGGATCTGCCCAGAATATATTGGTTATTATCTGTTCAGCATCCAACTGTAAGACATAGAAAAATGAAGGATCATCACAAGCATGAGTGACAAAATAATTGGTGAGCCATGCTGCCTCACCATATTGAAGCTCATTCTGTCTGTGGGTCCTTATATAATTTTGTTGGTCCAGCTTAATGTATCCAACTGATTCTTTACAACCAACTTGCCTTGCCATTAACTCATATGAATTACGAGCTGCAATTCCTGAATCTGAAGCCAAGTCCGCATCAATGGCCTGGACGCTAGAAATACATCTCTGCGACGACATCATGTGGGTGCATTAATCAATTATCAAAGGATGGTTGTGACTATCTACAAAATTATCAACTAAGTACTTTCCCTTTGCTTCATCATATTTAATATGCATTTGTGCACCACAACTAGTTCTTGTTTCAGCTCGCGTAGTCTTTGTATGTTTGTCCCTTCTATCCTTCTTTCTAACACCCTCCTTAAAACAAGTAAACAACTTCGTTAAAAGTTTCCCAATTTTACGGCTATTATTAAAATACTCCCTCCGGATGCTAAATCCAACTCTACCCCCATATGCATTATAAAATTCGTATGCCTCTTGTTCCGTATCAAACTCCATCTTAAACCTTGGTTCCATTGATTCACTTGGGGTTCTATAACTACAACATTTGTTGTGTCTTCAATATCTATCATGTCATCTTCCATCGAAAGGAGTAAAATTTTTAACCTACAACATAATTCAAGTAAAATTTCCTCTTTTTAACTTGTTGTACGTATATAAAATACACAAGATAATGGAAGAGCTTAAATTTAAAATATAGGAACACCAATGACCACTTAAGAGTTGCACATCCCAACTTAGTTTGGTCATATATCACCAATGAACTGCATAAAACTTCTCTTCCAAAAATATAACATTTATAACTATACAATACAAAAAAGGGAACAACTTATTTGAATTAAATAATCCCCAAAACTATATGAAGAGCACGATCCAATAGGTTAATGTGAATAATCCCCATGTCTAAGACAACAACATCATAACTATGTTCTAACATGCCTCACCAATGAAATATATGCAACATCACTCTTGTGTTTTTTCTTTTTAAACTTCATTTCAATATATGAATATTGATACAAGTATCTCTTAAAATAAAATCTAACATTTATAATTATACAATGCAAAAAAGGGAAGAACTGATTTGAATTGAATAATCCCAAAAACTGATGTGAATAATCCACATCTCTAAGATTACTAGATCCCAACTATATCCTAACATGCCTGAGCAATGAAATATATACAAAATCAAATTTTTTTTTTTATATTTTTTTTTTATTATTATTATTTTCAATTCATATCAACATAGGAATTCATACACCTATCTCTTCAAATAAATTATAACATTTTTCATTATACAATGCAAAAAAGGAAATTATTGATTTGACTTGAATATTCCCAAAATGTGTTTCAAGTGCATGTTCCAACATGTCAATATGAATAATCTTAATCTCTAACACTACAAAATCCCAATTCTGTTCTAACATGCCTGATCAATGAAATTTATATTTCAACATATTAATTGATATACATATCTCTTCAAAAAAAATCTAACATTTATAACTATACAAAACAAAAAAGGAAGAACTAATTTGAATTGAATAATCCAAAAAAGTATATTGACCGCACATCCCAACATGTTAATCTAATCAATCCCTATTTCCAATACTTCAACGTCCCAACTCTGTTCTAACATGCCTACCCAATTATATATATATACAAAATCTCATATTTTACTTTATTTCACTGTATCAATTCATACAAGTATTTAGAATCAATAGTCGATCGCAAATATTATACTCAACTTTTATTAGGGAAAAATAACAGATAGATCATTGAATAAACAACAAAAATTAAAACCAAAAAACATACCCAATATCAGTCAGTTGTAGAGAATGTGTTGTTTTAAAGTCTTTACCAAATTCCTCGACTTTGCCTTCACTTCCAAAGAAGAGAATTAACAAGTTCACAAGTTTAGCTTCTACTTTGTGAAGAGAAAAAAATAGATCATCTTTACAACATGCCTCAACTTTGTTTTCAGATCCAAACGAACCCCCTCAACCAGTTCACAAGTTAGCCTTCTATTTTGTGATGAGAAAAAAATGAATCACAATATAATGAAAAAAAATCGCAGCCCTTTTTTAAGTTGAAATGAAACTCAAATTTTACCCATTTTTTCTTGTTATTTGGTGGGCCCATATGTATAATATAGTAGGTAGTATCTATAATAGGCAGTATCCAAATATATATACTATACACTTTTACTTTTACTGTTCATTATTTTTTAACGCGTTTTACTGTTTATTTACGATTTATTGTTCATGTACCGTGCACCGGCTGCAACAGATTTACTGTTGCGCCGGAGACGATTTTGATCCCTCCCCAATCGCCTCCATCTCTATTCTCGTTCTCAACTCTGAACTTCCCTCTCTCTGTCTCTGCAACTGCAAACTACAAAACCTACAAGAATTAGAAGTTCAAAACCCATATACTTCAGTTTATCTATCTGTCTGCGAGAATCAAAATTCCAAAACCTATTACGTATATCAAAACCCATTTCGGCATATTATTTCAGATTGTTCAAAAATTCAAAACCCATATCCTTCAGTTTCCATCGCCCGCTGTTCCAGTTCGGGTTCGCCGTTCGCAAGCTTCAGCCGCTGTCTCTCAACTCTCAAGCTTGCCCCCTATCTCTCTGCAACTGCTAACTTGTATGTATGGGTTTTGTTTTAATTTTTTTTTTCTAAATCAATTAATCAAGGTCTGTAATAATTGTTTTGCAAACTAAATCCTATTTGGTGAAATTTTTTATGATCTTTTAAAAATCTGCAAGTACTTTTATGTTGGTTAATGTATTTTTAACATTTTGGTCACCTCTCTTCAGAGAACTTTCAATTATGAAGGATATCAGAAGAAGTCCGAGGACTTTCGCAATGCATATATCAGACTATGAGATTGAGGATGTAGGAAGTGATGGTGATGGTGATGGGGAGGCTCGTGAGCAATTTCTGGTTTGGGGTAGACGATTTGCTTGTGATGAACTTTACATAAGGTGCACATTCATATTACATTCCTATTGTCAAACTTCATGTATAATTAAAATAGCAAATTAACAATTAAAAGAAACTAGCAGTAACATTAACTATACATGGGGAAGGTAACACTGTAGAAGCAGGAAGTTCCATTAGAATTTAGAGGGTAATGGTATAGGATTTACATTGAAATAGTGGATCGAAGTTTTACGAGTTTAAAGACAAGCTGAGGGCTTACAGCTGTGAGCTTAGATAGGAGGTTTAGAGCTTCAGAGGAGCCTCATCAATATTTTGGATAATTTTGAAAAAATACAGAGTCCGATTAGGGATCTGAAGATCAGATTGGGCTTGCTAGTTTCTAATTTATGAATATAGAATTATAGATATTGTGTATGAATCTCATAGAGTCACTAAAAGTATATAATGTGAGCTGTTTGAGGGAATCAATTTTGTATCCGACTTTTGAGGTTACTCTTATCATTTGAGCACGTGATTTTTTTCCTTGTTATATTGTTCATGATAACAAAATAATGATTTTAAGATATGCAAACTGTTAGTCTGATGATGGATGACTGTGTTTGTTCTTCAGTGACAGCGATAATTCTGGAGATGAGTCAGCTCTTGAAACCCAATATCATTTGATGGACAAAGTGGTGGGACCAGTAGAAGGAGCATTATTAGAACTAACTTATGAGTATCAGATTAGTATTACGGTGCGTAGCTTGTTGATTATTTTGTTATAATAATATCACTATTGAAAGCTTTGAAATTGACTAAATTTGAAAGTGCATGTGCATTTATTTATTTATTAAACTTATTTATTTTTTTGATGAGTAATGATGTATTAGAGAGTGTTCAAAAGGGGAACACATCCTGTAGACAACACAAAGGCCGGAGCCCAAAAGAAAAGGTCCTACGGACCAAAGGAACCCAAAAAGTCAACTATCTCCTCTATTAAATTACAATATGTCCCCTTCGCCCAACAAAAAAGAAAACTAATAATACTAAATTTCAGAACCCCAATGGAAGATTCCTCCCCATCAAAAGATCTTCTATTAGGCTCCTTCCAAACGCAAAAAGGTGCCACCCTCCAGCCATCATGGGCATGGGATCCCACAGAAAAACATCTCCAAGTGTCAATCAATCCTCTCGAAGACTGTGACATAACTCACTAAACGCCAAACAAGCCAAAAATAAGACTCCAACAATCATGAGTCACGGGACAATGCAAAAGGAGATGATCCACCGACTCACCATCCTTCTTACACATGCAACACCAATTGATAGTAACCTGTCTTCTCTTTCTCAAGCGTCAAAATCTTACCCCAAACTGCGGTCCAAACGAAAAAGGCCACTTTGACGAGAGCCTTAGAGCGACAAACCGTCTTCCAAGGAAAATCAACCCCTGAAAATTCGGAAAGGCAACAAAACGCGGAACGTACATCAAATCTACCCTGGGGAGAGGGCACCCAAAAAAGGGAGTCAGAACATCCACAATCCACCTCCTGTCTATACAATAGATCCAGTAACAAAGAAATGTCATCTAGTTCCCAATCTTGGAAATTTCGATGAAAGCACACATCCCAAGAATACCTGCCACTATCAAGCCGATAACAGTCGGCAACCAAAACATGTCTATCAAAGGCAATCTTGAAAAGTCTAGGAAAAAGACAAGCCAAAGAACGATTACCACACCATAAGTCCTCCTAAAATCAAGTACCCGAACCATGTCGAACTTTAAATCTGATGTGTTTTGAAAATTCATATTAATTTTCAAACACCGATTCCTCCAACAAATCTAGGCACACAAGAGCACCATCCTCCTCTCTCCTCCCTATAGCGACACGAAATAACCCTCCTCCACAATCGATGACGCTCGCCTCCAAATCTCCACAACCACTTGCTAAGGAGGGCCCTATTGAATGGGGGCAACCTCCTAATGCTTAAACCACCGAGCTGAAACGGTCTGCTCACCTACTCCTAATGAACAAGATGGTACTTAAAATTCCGCTGAATCCTCTTAATCCTCTCAGCCACATAGAACGGGACCTAAAAAAGAGAAAGAAAGTACGTAGGAAGACTCGACAACGTGCTCTTCATAAGGGTGACCTTCCCACCCTTTGAAAGATACTGCTTCTTCCACCAGGCCAATCTTCTCTCAAACCTCTCAATCACAGGATTCCAACCCCCCACCGTCCTTGACGGATAACCTAACGGCAACCCCAAATAAGAAATCGGAAAGTAGCTAACCCCACATACAAGCACCGATGCAAGAGAAGTAATGTCATGAATCTCCCCCACAGGAACTAAAGTGCTCTTTCCCATATTTACTTTCAGGCCAGAGACTACCAGAAATTAAGCCAAAACACACCTCAAGTATCGTAGCTGCAACATATTGGCGTCACAGAAGACCAGAGTGTCATCTGCAAACAGTAAATGAGAAATCTCAAGCTGATGATCCACATCTCTGCCCACCCTGAATCCCCTAATAAACCCCAAATCCATAGCCCTCCTCATCAGTCTACTGAGTGCTTCCATAAAAATGATGAATAGAAAAGGAGAAAGGGGATCCCCCTATCTTATACCCCGAGAGCTGCGAAAAAAACCAGTCGGAACCCCATTAACGAAAACCGAAAATCTCACCGATGAAATGCATGCCTCAATCCACCTCCTCCATCTCACCCCGAAACCCAACCTCTCCAACAGATAAAAGTAAGAAGCTCCAGCTAACATGGTCATAAGCTTTCTCGATATCCAACTTTTAGAGAATACTGGGGACACCACTACTCAACCTAGAGTCCATGCACTCTTTAGCGATGAGAGTAGAATTTAGAATCTGCCGGCCGCCAACAAACACGTTCTAGGACTCTGAAATATCTCCGTCCAAGACATCCCTCAATCTCAGGGTGAGGACTTTAGTTATAAGCTTAAATGCACCCCACTAAACTAATAGGTCTAAAGTCCTTCACATCAGACACTCCACCCTTCTTAGGGATAAAGGCAATAAAAAAAGCATTCAATGACTTCTCAAACCGCCCATGTGATTGAAACTCATGAAAAGTGCCCATCACCTCATCCCTAACCACATCCCAACTCTCCAACACGAACCTCGTAGTGAAACCATCCGGGCTGGGAGCTTTATCACCATTACATCTCTTCAGCGCCTTCAAGACTTCCTCCTCAGAAAAAATAATCTCAAGTCCATCCCTCTCCATCTCAGAAATTGAGTTAAAGGCAAGGCCTCCAAATCGGGGTCTCCATCTGAATTTCTCAGAGTTCAGTCTCTCGTAGTAGGAGGCAATCCCCTACACATATTAGGTAGGGTAATTATGTTAAATTCATTTTCCTCCCTACACAACCCCACCCCATCAATACGGATTTTCCCAATATGATTACCCCTCCTGGGCATTGGCAAGTCTATGACAAAACCTCGTATTTCAATCACTCTCCTTAAGCCATAAGGCCCTAGATTTCTGACGCCACGAAATCTCCTCCAGAGTAGCAATCTCAGCAATATCTGCCTGACACTTTGCTCTCCGAATACTCTGAGCCTCATCAATACCACCCAACCCTTCCAACCCATCAATCTCTGCAATCTCACAAAGAGCCCTGTTTTTCCTCCATTTCAAATTCCCAAAATCCTCCTTGTTCATCTCTGAAGCTCAGTCTTCAACAACCGAAGCTTCCCAGCTAAAACAAAACTCGAAGTGCTAAACACCGAAGCCTTCTCCCACCAGGACCTGACTCTCCCATGGAAGTTCTCCGCTCTATGATTATCTTTTGGGCACTTGGCATGCCAAGATATGATAATCTTTTAGGCATTGGGAAATTGGAGAGCTTCATAATCTGAACAAAAACAAACTTTGTGTATCAAATAATGATGCAAAACCTCAAGCTTTGATGGGAGCATGATACATAAGAAGGTGTCTGTGTGATCACTCTTGGTTTAAGATGGCTGCGATACCTATTTGACATGCATTAATAAACACATTTCTACAAATTCTGATGAGTTTAGGAGAGGGCTTCAGTGAACCTTTTTGTGATTAATATGAAATCTCTTTAGCGTTATCTGTTCACTCAGAATTTTGAAATTTCATGCCCTTGGTCATTAGTGCAATAATAGTCCTATTTTTTATTTTTTTAAAAATCCAGTGTTATTGCGTTACTAGCTAACTCATGGACACTTGCATGCTTAGGTTTTGGACTTCAGAATTGGTCACTACACTTTTATTGTGAACATTACCCTGTTTTTTTGTGCTGAAACAGCATAGCCTGAACAGGACACCACATTGTTTCTCATGAATGAAATTGACAGAAAATTTGTTTCTTCTTTAAACTTGTGAAACCTAACACGTGATTAGCATGTTCATGAGGTGAAGAGCCCTCTGTTGTATAGAGGTATGCTTATAATAGCCTAGATAGACCATGTTCTTTTCCCCATATCCCTCTAACCAGTTCTAAAATTTATGGGGCAGTTCTAATTTTTCTTAAACACAGAACTATATCATATTTACTTTTTGGCAAAGTTGTTATCCTATCCTCAGAGTTGTATGTGCAACCATACTTTATATTGTTGCATGAAAATTGAAACTTGAACTTGTATACAGTATATGTTACTTTACATGCTGATAGCATGGCCCTTTCAACTTGTCTCATTTAGTATGTACTATTTTAAAACTTTTTGATGTAGTGCCTAGAAATGAATTTCATCTAGCTTTGCCATACTTGGGATTAATATGCATCCATAACTCTCTCCCTCTCTCTCTCACTCCTTCCCTCCACACGGAAAAAGATGCATTTATATGTTCGATTCAATCTTCTCTGATAAGTGCATATATTTAATCTGTCATGAATGTCTTGATTAACAGGAGGAAATTAGAAACCAAATTTTAGCATTGGAGACAGATCTGATGAGTGAAAACGAGAAGTTTATCTCTGCACTTGCTCGAGTTGAGAAACATACTGAAGCAAGGCGCGACATGGACAGGAAACTTGATATGCAGTATGAACGCAAGATGTAAGATTTCGTATTCTGGTTCTTCATACAACATCCTAGATAGTTGGAACAAGTCTTTGGGAACTTTTAGTTTTGTCACCAACGTTTTTATTACCCGTTCATTCTGTTTGGTTGTTTCCGTGTCATCTTTGCTAGTTAGTTGTCGTGTTTAAATGTTTCCGAGTTACTTCATAGTGTCTGTGATACTGATTAGCTGGCCTGCCTGAATGTTGTTTTTGTTTCTGAGAAGAGTTGCAATTTCAAAGGTCATTGTAAAATACAATATTGCGTGTCTCAATTCTTCTTTGTGTAGGTTGCTTGCCTCTTGAAGACCTTTTATGTTGGTTATTTTCACTAGTTGAGAGACACCCTAAATCTCAAAAAATCAGTTTGTTTAGGATTTTTGAGAGCAGGCCGATCAATAACCATGCAAATCCAAAACAGATTCACCTTTTTCCCCGACAGGAGGTGAGGAAAAGGATTGAAACTCTGAACTTTTTGCCTGATGTTACAGAAATAATAGAATAGGGAAATGTATGCTTTTCTAAAGCCACTTGTCTGTAATTTAGTAGATATCGTTATATATTGAACTTGAACACATTGATTCAGTAGTGTCTGTCACCCCTTCCAAGTAGTACTACTATACTAGAAATGTGGTCTAAACCTTTTCATGTCCAATACCAAAGGAACATTGAAACTTTAACTTTTCCTTCACGAGCTTAAGCCTAGGTCAAGGCCTTAAAACGATTAGTTTCCCAGCTACATGCCAAGAACTGTAACGACCCGGTCATTTGCCTTCCTTTCCTTTTTCCTGAACTTTTACGAATGAATTTTTTTCGTTTAATTTTCTTTTCTGAGCTCTGTTTTGTGTCGCTTAGTGTCATCTCGAGTGCTCGGAATTGGTTCCTGAGACTCTTTTCCGTGGATTGACAACTTCCTTTGAGGACCGAATCATTTTCATATTTTTCGTTTTTCGACACTATGCCCTATTTCGTCCTTTTCCCTATTCTGTCTTATCTTCGTTTGTCAGTTTTTGGCACAACCTCACTTCTCATGCTCGGAGTTGGTTTTTGACTTCACGTGCCTTCATCTTGAGTGGTTTTCTCGAAATACGTATTTTTACTTTTGCAATAAAGTACTCTGGTTGCTCCCGGTGTCCACAGGGGTATGGATGCAAAGTTTTTTGAAATTATTTTCTTTTCTTGGGGTGTTTTTCGTAAATATCTTTTGAAGATATTTTATTTCAGGGGTTTTTAAAAAAATATTTTTGGAAGATATTTTTATTCTGGGCCATAAGTGCAGTTTTCACTTTTTGGAGGGGCCATTGTGTAATTAATGAAAGTTATTGCAAAATGTCTTCTTTGAGCCTGGATTCTCGTACGGGATTCATTTTCACATTTCGTCGAGTTGTGTACTCTTGGAATTTCCTCCTGGTCGATATTTTCCAGTTTCAGGGTTTCTGGCCCCGGTTTGCGCCAGACTTGTTTTAGGCATAACTTTCTGCTCGGGACTCGGTTTTCGACGCCGTTTCTTCCGTTGTTCATATTTTATCATTTTGAATCTTTTTCGTTCACAAAGTTTTGCTATTTGAGCGCGTCTGCTCAAATTTTATTTTTTCGGACCCGATGGGGCCCGTTCGGGGCACTTTTTGAGATTTCTATAAAAGGGGGGTGAGATATTTCATTTTTCATCTTCTCCCCTCTTCATGCACGACCTGGAGCTCCCATGGCAGCCCAAGGGGTGCTGCCATCTTCTCTCTCCTCTTTTGGTTCACTTTTCCTTGATGGAAAGTCTTCGGCCTTAACGTTTGTTGTTCCCCTCGCCGTGCTCTACCTTTCCCCCTTATTAGAATTCAGTTTCGACCATTTCTTGAGTTTGGTTTTGAGGTCAACTTATGATTTTGATAGGGCTTTCATGGGGGTTATGTTCACGGCGTTGTCCCCGACAAAACCTAGTAGTTTCGTCGGATTCGGAGCCGTTCCATTTTGGTGGGCCTTTGGGATTTTCATCTCAAATTGAGGTAGGAGATGTTCTAGGTTCAAATTCTTGTTATATAGCATGCTTGTGGTGCTTATAATACTTGTTTGCGTGATTAAATATAAAATCTAGAGATTTTATTATTTATTTTTCTTGTACGGGATCTAACTTTCCTGGTTGCACATGACTTGGTTTAAACATTGAGTATGATTTTATATTGCCCCTTGATATGCTCATTGTCGTGTATTAAAATTGGAACATTTGAATAAGTATTAAAGATTTTATTTAATATTTATCTAAGGTGAAAGATTAATTCACATAGCCTTAACTAGCTTAAAATCAATATGTGTTAGCATATTAAATTAGGCCTTAGCATGCTCTCCAACATAGTTGAATTTGAAAGTGATTGGAGGTGTTTTGAAAATTAATAATTATTAATTAATTTGATTAATTAATTTGCCCTGAGTGCACTATTCACTCTATTTAAATTCTGACTTGATATTCTTGATTTACATGCCATATAGTTTCACATATATTTGATTTAGAATATTCGGTTAGGTTTTGAAACCTTTTATTTAATTAAATTCCATGTTTAAGATTTAATCCTCATGGTGGTATACAACTTGGAATTGTATTGTGGCATGCTAGAAAATTAAGTTTTGGTATGGTTGTTCACATGTATTAAATTGGGATTTATTGCATGAGAATTGCAATTTTTGTTTTATATTTAACTTTAGTGAAGGTTTAATTCGCATGGTCGTAAATTGAATGAAATACACTTGTAATGTGATATTACATTAGTCATTGGCATGTTTTTCAACATAGGTTAATTTGAGAGCATTTGGTTAAGTTTGAAAATCAAGAGATTTTAATAAAAAGAATTAATTAAAATCTATTTTGTGATCCCTTTAGCTTAATTAAGGTTTTAACTTGATATTTGTATTGGCCATGACTTGTTTACTAGTATATATTAATTTGGGACTATTAAAAGTTGTTTTAGAACCTTAGTAATTAAATTAGCATGATTTAATTAAAGTTCTACTTTGTTGTTCCAACAACCTAATTGAGTTTTAGAATGGATATAGGTGATGACCATGCCATGTCCTTTAACATGTATTAAATTGAGGTTATTTGGAATTGAATCAGAATCTAGAGAATTTAATTGTGTTTATCTATTTAAATTCTATCAATTTGCTCCATGATCTAGTTGTGTTTTAGAAGTGGTTTCTATATTCAAATCATGGACTTAGACTTGTTGTATATTCATTTGGTTATGTTTTGAACATTGGATAACATAGTTGCTATGTTTGTATTCGTGATAATATGTTTTCCTTATTGAATATATTGTTACCTTGTGTAATGATTTACACACTTCGTGTTTAACATCTTTCATGCATAGCGTGTAACGAATCGCACACTGAAGATTCGACATTCATCATATCATATTAGTTGTGGATTTAGAGCATGTATTGTATAGGTTTCCAAATTTGGTTGTGCTTAGTAGATAGTTGATTATCTTGCATATTCCTGTTGATATATGCGTTGTTGCACAACTTGTTGATTTTGGAAACTTGGGGATGTCGTTGTTTGACTATGGCTAGGACGTGGTTCTAGTACGGGGGATAGTCCCTCTATATATAGTCTAGTGCGCACATAGGGAGGTTACCCATGGGCTAGTAACCCTAAAGTAACTATGTTGTCGGTCTGATCCGGCGTGACGTCCGAGTATCCACTTTGTTTGATTTCGCATTTTATTTTCAAGTTGTTAACTAGATGATGTTGTAACTTGTTGTTTCTTAATTGTCATTCCATTTTAAGTTACAGGATGTTAACTTTGCGAAATTATGCTTTATGCGTTGTATTGGAAGTTCCAATGTTGGTTAAATAGCATCGATATTGAAAATCGTGTTTTGACGTTCTAATAAAGCTTAGGATTGATCCTATTGATTCATTTATAACTTAGACGTTAGGTGGCATGACCCACTTCTGTTGTTTTCGTGCTTTAGATTTCAAGCTGATAGCTTTAAGAAATTGTATTTTGTTGCCTTGTATAATATGCTTTTATGTGGTTAGATTGCATTGAAGTTGTATATTGCGTTTTGATTGTTCAGCATGGCCTAGGATGATTCCTTAGACTTATTTAGAACATAGACGTTAGGTGACATGATCACTTTAGTTGTTTCTGTATTCGAAATTGCAAGTTAATACCTTTAAGAACCTATATCTTGTTGCTTTGTATAACGTGCTTCCATATTGTTTAAATAGCATAGATGATGTGATTTATGCTAGAAACACTCTAAGGTAGCTTTGGATGCACCCTGAGTCTCATTTCGATATAGGCGTTAGGTGGCGTGAACCCCTTTAACATGTTTCACTTTAAGGTGATAAATTTGTAAAATGCTAGGTCGATGCATGCTCATCTCCTACAAGTAGCTTTATGTTACTCACCCCTACAATACTGGGGCATATTTCAAGTACGAAGACTTGGTTCGTGACGCCTAGCATTCCTTGGATGTCGTATAGCTTTCAAGTTTCCATTTCATGCAAATGTTAGCATGAAATGTCATTTTGTAGACTTATATGTCAAAATATGTATATTTGATTCCATATATGTAATGTGTACATAAGTGCACTTCTTTCAATGTATTTGACATGTATGAGATGAGGCCGAAGGCCAATGACCATTATATTGTGTTCTATGTACTTTTTAACTTCGTGAAATATTGTGAAAATCTTGAAAAATCGCAAGTCATTGCTTCACCATGGTTGCATCGGGTGTGGAAATCCCATTTTCATTCTTTCATAGGGTCTTATTAATCATGTTTGAAGTGTGGCCAAGGGCCAAACGGTCATTTGATCCCGTTTTGTATTTTTGGATTCTGAGTTTTCATTCCAAGTTCCATTTTTGCCTTTTTGCCCGTTGGGGGGTCGAATTTTGCATCGGTGGTATTTTTAAGTCGTGGACCATTGTAGCACGTCCAAATAGGTAAGTTATGTTTGCGTGCATGGTCTTTTCCGGGCAAAACCTTATCGTTTGTGTTTTAAGCCTCTTGTGAATTCATTTCGCACTTTTTTTGCATAATCTGATCTAGGGGCATTCTGGACCTTTTACATCAGTTTTATTTTCTTCTTTTGACATGGTCGCTTAGAAAACATAATTTTAGGGGGGGTTTCTTTTACGTGTTTTTCCAGAAAATGTCGTCTTGGTGCCGGAAATCGATCGCAAAGTTCAACTTTTCTGTTTTCTTTTAGCAGCTTTTTGGACCTCCATGACCAGATTTTATGGAGGGGCATTTCGGGCATTTTACATTGCATTTTTTTTTAATTCTCTTTGCGAGTCACGTAGAAAATTTAATTTTGAGGGGGGTTTCTTATTTGTATTTTTCCAGAAAAATTCATCTTCTAGCTCGTTTTTGCTCTCAGTTGCAGACAATCACTGTAGCAACTTTTAACCCTCTTGTTCAGTTCTGATCTAGGGGCATTTTGGGGATTTTACAGTGAGTTTTATTCGATTCCGTCCGTAAAGTCAGGTAGAAAACTCGATTTTAGGGGGGGTTTCTTCTTCGTGATTTTCCAGAAAAACTCGTCTTGGCCTCCGTTTCAAGCCTCAGTTCTGGGCAGATAAAAAAAAAATGTAGCAGCAGCCAAGGGCTGCCACCAGCCATGTCTTTGGGTGCCGGTGGGCTCGCGCATGGGCGCCGTGTGCGCCATGGCCCCTCGTCGGGCTGCCGCGACGTCAATTCTTCTTTTGGGTTTCTCTCCTTCGTCCGAACTCCGATTCAAGTGAATTTTTTTTTGAACTTGACTAATTTTTCACTATCTTTCCAACGGTGTGCTCGGTTGCACCCGGTTCTTCCTGGATAATTACCAGTTTACCCTTTTTGCCTTAAGTGCTCGTTTTTCTTCGTCATGCCGTTTCTCCTTCGTTCGGACTCCGAATCATGCGATTCTTGAGTCCATCTTGATTATTTTTTTGTTGTCCTTCCAGCGGTGTGCTCGGTGGCACCCGAATTTACAGTTTTCAGAAATGACTATTTTACCCCTGGGGGCTTATTTGTCATATTTTTGATCTTTTGCTTCCGCATCAGTTCTTGTTGAGTTCCACGACTTCATGGAAGGTCACTTTGACTTCTTAAAGTCTTGTTTTTTGTTTTTCGCTTCCGCATTCGGATCCGTTATCGGATCATCCTTACGGTTCATCACAGGACACCCTGGCCTAAAAACCAGGGTCGTCACAGGAACCATTCTCAAGGACTATTTCTTTATATTGGGCACTTTAACTTGAAAAGGAAAAAAAAAAAAATTCCTAGATATTTGTCCCAACATTCTCTTGGCACAATTCTTGATAAGCATGTGTGGAGTACATTCCCTTTGGTAAGTGCTCAATAATCCATTCCTTTTATAATTCATCCCTTTCTCTATGATCTTTGAAAGAAAAAAGAAACCGAGTGAGTGTCATTCTTAGAAGAGGGTTGTGCATGCTTGAGATTTCCATTCTCAATTCTTTAAAATATCTGTGAGCTTATTGTGGAATAGACCACTCTAATTACCTTTGTCCCCTCCATTGGAGCTAAAATGGAGATGACCGCTGACATCTGGATCCAGAATAAACCTTTTACTTTTGCTTAGCTCAAGTGGGCTGCTTTAGTTGTCAATTAAAATATGTTAGCAATACTGTTATTTCTATAAATTGTTGAATTTGAATTTATCAAAGGAGGCAGGTTTACCAAGGGAATATTGAAATTCCAACTTTGATTCTCAATAAATAGCATCTCCTGAGAGATTGCATTTGGAATTGGTTGGCTCAGTAGAGTATAACAGCATTAGCTTCTCCACATGGCAGGCTGGTTTGAAGCACAATTGGGAACCTTGTGGAACATCATCCACCTGATCCAGCAATCCATCTGGTAGATTATTGACTGCGCAGGAGTTCTCCCCGCTCCACACACCTTATCAGTCTAGTTTCATTTTATTGCCCTCACAATCAGAATGATTTCTGCAATGACTGAGCTTAAATCTTGATCTGATGCATCTCACCCGACCGGTTTGGTCTCGATTTTCCTTGTCCTCCTCGTAGCTTCACACTTCTTGATCTTCATACTTGCAGATTGAGCAGCAGTCCAAACTAAAACAGATGCAACCTTCCTTTCCATTTCAGTGCCTTCCTCCTCGTTAGGCAACAAGATGGGTTTGACAAGCTTTTTAATAGGCTTTAGCTCAAGAGTGAGTGAGGGTGTTGTTGCATTAGAGTTTGCTGGTGCAACACTAATGGCGGTTGGCTTCCCTCGTCTTTGCCGTCTGTGCCCAAGCTTGGTGTGCAATGGCAGAAGCTTTTCCTCCCTATCCTTAATTCCAACTGATACAACAAATCAGCTTTCCCCTCCAATAATTGCAGGTTCTCTTGCACCCACCACATCAGCCGTTGTGGTTCCCCAGCTTCCCGCTGCTTCTGGATCTGTTTTATTCATCACAAATCTGCTGGAGCACCTGCAGAACAACTGTCCCGTCTTCTTTCCCCTCACTAATCTGCTCTGCCTTTTCAAGGGGACAATACGATATTGAATTTTCCGGCTCATCCTTCGGAACCCAGCCCTAGGAAAGATCCAAATCATAATCTTTGTGCTGGGTGAGTTGGAGTCATTGGACAGAATTAGGGAATCATGCCCAAAAATCAGTTATTATTCATTTAATATTCTTGAAAATTATGTCAATTGATTAATTTATATATGATTTTGATGGATAAATTTCATTTTATTTTTCCGTTGACCAAATATAAAAGTTAAACTATGATGATATTTGATACTATAATTCAGCATTTTGTTCTCACTGGAATTCTAAAAATGACTTATTGACACTCCTTGAATTACTGTAGTGCAGAAGCACTTGATAATCACTTGACTGCTATTCAGAGGGTCCATGAACACAGATCCCAGATCAAAGAAAGGAGAATAAGAGATGATGCAGTTTTCGAAGAGTCAAAAAGGATGGAAAAGGCTCTTCAGGAAGAGAAACTGCGACAAGAAAAAATCAGAGCAGAAGCAGAGGTTTGTTAACTTGGGTTCAATTTCATTGATTTTTTTTGTTTGGGATGTAATATGCTAAGTGCATCCCATGACATCTGTAGCATTAATCACTTTGGTTAGCAACTGGTTGACAATATTTTCCACCATCCGAACTTCTGAACTTCCAAACAGCGATCCAATGATTTCTGTTTCCTCCATGGCATTGGAAAACAGCATTTTTATATCAGACAGCATCATGGATTAGTAGAGAATGGGAAGCTATTGCCAAGAATTTCTTCCTCAGATCTGCCAAAAATATTTCAAGCAGATAATTTTCCTTAATTGAATACTAGATTTTTGCAAGGATGTATGAGAACAGACAATATCATAATCTCTTTATATTCATGAGATAGGGTGGAAGAAAATTTTGCTCTACATATCATGGGCATAGCAATTTTTTCTTGCCTTTGCTAGCTGCATTGCATTCATACTATATGTGCTCGTGCTTCTACATTACTTTGTGATATTGATTGATATGTCACTTATTAGATCTATTCCACTATACCCACCTATAATTGGCTTGCTGGAACTTAATACCTTCTTTTGGCCACTTTATTCTAGTCCTGGCATATATACTTGCTGGATTTTAAAGAAAACTACTATGATGATACACTAGTATGCTTTAATTAAGTTCTTGTTTGTTGGATGCAGGCAAGACTTGAGGCTGAAAAGAAGAGAGCTGAAGAAGCCAAAGCAGCAGCTTTGGAAGCTGAAAGGAGAGCAGCAAAAGAAGCTGCAGAAAAGGTTGCTACTGAAAATTTAAGAAGGGCTAGTGCTGCTGTAGTGCCTCTAAAAGAAGCTGATGGGCTCCAAACGGGATCTGGATCCAATATAATGCAGAAAGCAACATCAGCAGGTATTTATGTTTCCGAAAATGAAGGAAAACATCATTTTTCCTTCCCTTTTTCCAAATTTTAAGGAAATCAATAAATTGCTACTTGTAACTGAAGCCAAGAAATTTTATGGTCTCTTAGCATTTATAAAATCTTATTGGAATCAATTGATAATTATCTCTTTACATGGTCAAATTCCTGAATAGGATCAGCTATGATAACCTTCCCTCACTTACATTAACTGGTTTAGGCTGTTAAGCTTAAGTCATCACGATTTCTCTGTTTGCCTCAGTGCTTTGCCTTTTTGGCCTTCTATTGTCATTGTAGACTAGATGCCTGTTCAGCATTACAGTTTGGTAGGCTAGAATTGCTACTAGTTTGGGAAAACATTTTTACTTGTGTTTGGTGATATAAAAAAGAACTTTTTGGTAAGTTGAGATTTTTGGCACCTCAAAGCTTTTGGCTAAGCTCAAATTTGGTGTCTAAATTACATTTGCTAGTAAAGGTAAAATTTGTGGGAAAAATATGTATTTATGAAGGAGTATATTTATTAAATATGCTTTAGATATTGCATTTGCAAAAACTATTTTACCTTCCAACAACAACAATCTTTTATTGACAGCTCTAGAGGAATATTCGCTTCTTTAGAAGCTACTGCAGCACAAAACAAGGCACAATTCAAATAAAACAGCTGAAGTAATGCAAAATGTCAACTAAAAAGAGTTCACTATATTATTTATGTTAGCTATATTTCATTAAATAATGGGATCTTAGTGGATTGTCAAACACATTAGTGTTACTCAGATAGATTGGGGAACCATAAGAGAACTGTGTGCAATTCTGGTATCTTGACTTTATCATCATCAACTGGCCAATTTAATGACAGGAAATGTATTCAAGGGTGCAGCACGTGCTTTAGAGTTAGAGGAAAGAAGACTACAGATCTACAATGAAGTAGCTGCACAAAAGAAGGCACTCGGATTGGGTTCTAATAAGGTAACTGACTGCATGAAAGACACATGCTTTGTACTTTGTAGCTTCAGATTGTTTAGGTTGTTTTGATTTGATGCATAATATAAATGTTAATGTTATTTTGATCATTTTTTTTCAACTATCTTTAATTTTGAGTAGCACGTCTTCTCTGAAAGTACTAAATTGGCGTGTTAGTTAAATGGGGTGGTGGTTATGAACTTATGATCTATCTATATACTAGTTATATTTATGTCATAGAATTTTAGTGTCAGTTTCACATTCTAATCTTATTTATATTATTTAAACCCGGTAACCATATTCAACCTGAAGCTTTTTTCAGTAAGCTGAATTATGTATGTCGATCAATTAGTCACAAGTTGTCATTTCTGTCAGGATTATCGCAGTCATGGGATGCAAATAGCTAGACGGATCAAAACAATAAGTGGGTCAAAGGAAAATGTTAGGTGAGGCATATACCTTCATTTAAATTATAGCCTGTTCAAATATCTTTGATTATGGGACTTCCCACTTCTGCAACCATATCTAATGTTTTACTTTAAGTTTGAGAAGCATTGTAATTCTGCTCAAATGCCTTGTTCTGTTTGCGCTACATAGTTTGCTACTATATCTGAGACCAGTTTATGTGATCATGCTGTCCAGAAATTTTACTATTGGCTCCATTTCAATGGTTTTTTTTTTTTTTTTTTTCCTGTGTAAATTGGAAAATTTATAAATATAGACAATATTGTAAATGAGGATAAACAAGGGCATTCCCTCAAAGGAGAACAAATAGATCACAGATCCACCAAGGAAAAACAAACAAGGCCAAGACCTCGAAGAAAGAACAAACTAAAGATAGATCCTAAACCACAGTAAAGGACCCAAACACAGTCAATGAAACAGATACCAGCATATTACACTGCATAAAGCAAGGACATGTTAGCTGATTCTAAAACCTCCCACCAAATGAATCTAGCAACCTCCACATGATCTCTAGATTTATGTTGGTGCAGTTTGAGTTTCTCTCATACCAAATTTGCCATATTGTTTCTGTCCACAAACCATTGAAGCAGGTGGTGAATTGAAGAATACTGCTGCAAGTTCCAGTCCAGTAAGTCAGAGAAACAGGTCCAAATAGCCACTGCAAATGGGCACATCACAAACAAATGATCCAAATCATCACAGGCAGCCCAACAATTGTGACATATTCTGTATACCTCTAATCCTCAAATTATTTAAAGAGAGCAATCTATTTTGATTAGCAAGGCAGCAAGTTATAGAAACCCGGCCTGCATCCACTCCAACACACCTTGAACCAGTTGACAGTAGCCAGCTTAATTCGATGAGGCACTTTTAAAGAAGAAAGTGCATTGGTTCCAACAAGAAAGTCATTCCCAGGATGAATTGGAATTGAAAGAAACAAAATTTCTCAGCTGGTTAATTCGAAGTTGGTTGGTGGTTGGTGTGAATTTGCAATTTTTTTTTTGTTGCATCTCCTAATATATTTCCTCTTCAATATTTTCCAACTTGGGTTGGAATACTTCAACACTATTATTTGATCAACAAATTGGTTGTTAACTTATCAATTCATTTTTTGCAGAGCAAAAACAGATGAATTAATTAAGATCTTCATAGATTCACCTTGGCCTCAGACTACCAGTGTTGCAATGTTCGCGGAGCAGGTATTATCCATTGTTTATAGTTGATAGTTTTTTGTTCCTTCCCTACTTCCTTTCCTTATCTACTTGATTTGTTTGTTGGAAATATGATGAAAAGAAAAGAGAACAAGATTTTGAATTATTCAATATGTTTAAATGCCATGCTTAGATATTCTGTAGGTGGAAAATGGTGGGCGTCTCTCTCTATCTCTCTTGTTTTCTTTTTCCTCCATTTGAAATCTTGATTCCCACATTTTGTTTAATGTATATACAAGTCAAACCATCAATAATTACATTGGTATAAATTTTCTTTTGTTTTCCTCTGTTTTTTTCTGTAACTATATGTACTCTCTATTTCAAGATCAGTCCCGACTCCGTTCAGCAAATGGAGATTTCTCACTTGCTCTTTGCGGATGACACTATTGTTTTTTGCGAGGCAGAGGTGTCCCAGTTGAGGTATCTGAGATGTGTCTTAGTTTGCTTTCAGGCTGTCTTTGGTTTGAAAGTCAACGTGCGCAAGAGTGTGCTTGTCCCTGTGGGGGAGGTTCAGGAGGTGGACACTCTGGCTGCTGTTTTAGGGTGTGGGACTCAACGTTTCCCTATCTCGTATTTGGGTTTGCCGCTGGGGGACTCGGCCAGGAGGGTGGGAAGTTGGGACCCGGTGATTGAGAGGGTCGAAAGAAGATTAGCTGGTTGGAAAAAAGCAATATCTCTAGTGAAAAGCATCTTGTTAAGCCTTCCAACGTATTTTTTTTCGCTCTTTCGGGTTCCAGCCTCAGTTGTTGGACGTCTTGAGATGCTACAGCGAAACTTCCTTTGGAGGGGTCGTGGAGAGGAGTTTAAGTATCATTTTGTCAGATGGGAGCAGGTTTGCAGGCCTTTTCAGTTGGGCGGGCTTGGGATTAGGAGATTGGCCCCCTTTAACAATGCTCTCCTCGGTAAGTGGCTTTGGAGATTCGGTAGTGAAAGGCATAGATTATGGAGAAGGGTTATTTCTTGTTGCTTTGGGGAGGAGAGAGGGGGGTGGTCAGCTAGGCCAGTCAGGTATGCTAGTGGAGTAGGGTTGTGGAGGGCCATTGGAAAAGGATGGGACAAGTTTTCCAAACATGTTAGATTCAAAGTTCGGGATGGAAGGTTTGTCCGGTTTTGGGAGGATCCCTGGTGCGCGGATAGGCTTTTGGCTCTTTTGTTTCCAAGGCTGTTCAGGATTGTTGTTGACAAACATGCTATGGTTGCTAACTGCTATCGCCTTGATAGCGAGAGGTTATCTTGGGATGTGCGATTCTGGCGATCTTTTCAGGATTGGGAGTTGGATGATGTCACTGGCTTGTTGGCTCTCTTGTACAGACAGGAGGTGGAGGGCACTGGTGTTGACTCCCTGATTTGGGTGCCCTCTTCTCAGGGGATGTTCCAGGTTTGGTCTTTTTTTGTGTGCCTTTCTGGTTTTCATGTCTTTTCCTTCCCGTGGAAGACGGTGGGGCTGTCCAAGGCGCCTCTTAGGGTGGCCTTTTTCGTGTGGACTGCAGCTTGGTGCAAGATTTTGACTTTGGATAACTTGAGGAAGCGAAGACATATTATTGTTAATCGGTGTTGTCTTTGTAAGTTGAATGGAGAGTCAGTGGATCACCTGCTGCTGCATTGTCCTGTGGCTCATGATTGTTGGAGTCTCATTTTTTATTTGTTTGGTATTCATTGGGTTATGCCTCGGACATCTCGGGAATTGCTAGATATTTGGAGGGGCCAATGGGTGGGGGCTCAGGCGAGAGTCTTTTGAAGGGTAATCCCCTTTTGTGTTTGGTGGAGCATTTGGAAAGAGCGGAATAGAAGATCTTTTGATGGGAAGGAGTCCTCCATTGGGGTGTTGAAATTTTCTATTATTTGTACTCTTTTTTGTTGGGGTTGGGGGAGAGATTTTTCCTCCATTGAGGATATTGTGGACTTTTTGGGCTCCTTGAGATCATAGTTTCAGTTTTTTGTATAGCTTGGGATGCGTTCCCCTTTTGAACGCCTTCTAATACATTTCACTTATCAAAAAAAAAAACTATATGTAGTCTCTACTGTGAAGCTGTATACCTCTCACAACTTTAACTCTCCCTTTAGAAGTCATAGACTGTTGTTGCTTCTGTTGTGCGTGTGTAAAATTCTAGTTTCTTGCTTGCTTATCAAGAAAACGAAGAAAATAAAATAAAGGAAGAAAGAGTTTAAGAAGTAAATAAATCAATGTACTGATGGTGTTCCAGTTTTGATATTACTGGTTGTCGCACATTGCAGAAACTCCATCAAAAGCATTTTTGCTTATGGTCATGTCATTGCTCTTGTTAGTGCACAGGTAATGCATGTTTTGTTTCTTGCTATTGCTTGCCTCTACTTTTAGTTGTTTAATAGCTTATGCAGATTAAAAATTATAATAACAATATAAAAGAATCAAAGAATAAAACTCTCACAGTTTTTTTACCTGTTTATGGGCCTCACCCTGATCTTAATCAGGGCAGTAGGAGCATACATTTTTGTGTTAGACAGAGTCTCTCAGATGATAGATATGCATTATTGAATCACAGTGAATAGATTTTGAATTGGTTTGATATTCCCAAATAATTATTAATCACATGAACTGAAAGATTAATCCGATATCAACCAATCAATCAAGTAAATATTCAAGCAATCATATGGCTACACCACAAAAAAAGGCACCCAAGTTTATCTGAAAAAATCCTTAATGTAGAAAGTCACAGGACAATGACAGAACTAATCATCCGATTTATCAAGTTCGAAACAAAGATAATTATTTTAACACTTGGAGCAATCTATTTTTACCATTCTTCCTAAAGAGCTCAGTCTCTGGTGCCAGCATCCTGGTACCATGTTCATTACTGGTTCCAGTTGATCCAATGAGCACTTGTCACCATGAGTCTAGAATGCACTAATCCCAAAAACTACACTGCACTGATTGTCAGCAATGATTCTCTTATGAAGCAACCCGTTCATATGCCCGATTAAACACTCCTGAGGAAATTCTTATAGATGAATGATGTTGTGGTTGAGTATCTTCAATTCATGAAGTGCCTTGGAGAAAAATCATACAAAACTTTGATGTTTCCCTAATCCGAAAAGTCACAAACATGAAATATGATGTCTCTAATCCAATGTTTGATCTCTCTCTCCACCTCTCCACCACAACATGCATCCTACATGTCATAGATGAACCTTAATTCCCTATGTGTAGGTAAAAAGAGATTGGTACTAACTACAAAGCTTTTGGGGTCTAAATAGGACAAGTTGAAGGTACACCAACTATATTTGATTCTTGGTTGCTACAAACTTTAGTTCTATCATTCTGGTAGTTAGCGGAGAAAGTTCGATCAGAGGCTATCTGAGGATTGAAACATTCTGGCTCATGCACCTCCCTGTACAAGCCGAACCCGGAATATGGTCTAGTCAGGTTGATGAGGTTGGTTTTGCAGTCAGCTTAAGTATGATGGCATGGTTTTGAAGATACTGTGAGATATAAATTTATTGTAATTATATAGGAGGAATTATGGCTGTGACAGATTTTTGTTTGAATTTCATATCTTCAACTATTTAAAATCCATAAGTTAAAGATGTTTCAGAAATCAAATAGAAATACTTTTTAGTTCATTTCGCATGTTCCATGATTCATTGTTGTGATTGTCTGGGTATTATTATCATTAGGGTTAAGTGCACAAAACACCCTTGTAGTATAGTGTTTGTGCATGATGACCTCCTACTTTTAAATTTGTGCGGTGTCAGACCCTACTTTTGCAAAAAGGTAACAAACCCCCCACCCCCCTCAAACTGCTTTTCAGTGACATGTGACGTAAAGTATTTTTATTATTCCGTTTTTGCCCTTTTAACATGCCAAAAAATGTCCCTCTTGCAATTGTTATATTAATTTCCAAATTTTGCCCTATACAACTAATCTGCCTTTATTTTGAATGGTCAAATTTTGACATGCATATATTCGCAAATATGTTTATTACTGTATGTTCATGAACATATGCATATGCCTTTATCAAATTTTGATATGCATATGTATGTGTATACATCATCTTCAACTCTTCCAAGCATAAACCAGCAAAGAAAAACCAGAAGGGCCCTTGAGCTCATTCTCTTCCATACTTGCCCTTTCCATGACAGAGCTTCACCCTGTGGAAGCCGCTGACAACAACGATGCCAAGCTCCTTAATTCCTCAACAACCCCTTCTTCATCTTCTTCTTCTCAAACCCAAACCCACACGATTAGTGTGACTACAAAGCCATCCCATTCTTCTCTTTCAAATGGGTCAACTCATAGTCATCTTCAAAATCTTCATAAAACCCTGTTTACTCAACATGAACAGGGCATACCCATCTTGGTCCTCATCTTCAAACAACCAGTTATATACATCCCATGGGACCTGTATGTGAACCCCATCAACTTCAATCCTCTCATTGCCATCTGAATTTCCCCTTCAAATGCTTAATCTGCAAACACTTTTGTGATCAATGCTGAAACTGAGTCTTGGATCATCATTTAATCTGCAGTCTATATATATATATATCTTGTTTTGCCTCCAAAGTTCGCTTTTGTTGTGTATAGTTTGTTTCCTTACACGCTCTCTTCTCAGAACCATATTTTGGGTCTTTTCAGGCTTTTTATCTCTTGTTTTGGCATAAGCTTCATTGCCAGAGTCACCAATGAGGAGGGTCGTTTTGCCGGCAATGTCCAATTTTGTCATTTCCCATTTGGATATTTTTAAAAATAATGTAAGATAAACTGTAAGGGTATTTAAGTCTTTGTACGAGGTTAAGGTGTCAGGAGGTCCCTATTTAAATACTTTATAAACTTCTTTTTTTTTTTTTTTGGGGGGGGGGGGGGGGGGGGGTGTTTAGGGAACATCAGGGGGTATATGTGCTATATATTGGTGCTAGAGGGGTGTTTTGTGCACTTAACCCTAATCATTAATTCGTTGAGGCTAAGCCTTCCCAATTTTCCGTCATTCTGCATATATCAAATTAAATGTGTATTAGACTGCTGATTATTTGAAAAGTGCTGATTTCTTACAATTACTTTTATGAACCTAGGTCCCACTTCTTATGGATCTTTTGCTTGCTGAGTTGAATAGAGTTTGCATCTTTATCGTTCCAAAGTACATAAATAACTCAGAGGTACTCAATTTCAGCTCAACCTATTATTTATTGTAGCTTAGTAAAGGATGTCTTCCAAGTAGTAAAACGTTGCTGCCCGCTTTGTCCCTATTTCCCTTTTCGCTGTTTTAAGCATGAATTAGCTATGGAGCATTAAAGATTGGAAGTTTCAAAAGTTGAACTCTTTTTTTTCTCTCTCTTCAGTGGTTCTTCTGTTTTCTATGTTGCTTTGTTAATTGATGCTGCTGCTGTAGTTAATTTTTATTGTTATTGATGTCCCTTTCCCCCCACCCACACACGCACCCACTTACAAATGAGTTTTATTAAAAATGAAAAACTATACAAAAAATATAGGGGACATACCCCCAAAATACTAAGGCTCAGTTTGGTAGAGTGGAAATGGGAGGAAAGGGAAGGGAAGGGATGGTGATGGAGGATGATTAAAAAATTGTGTTTGGGTAAAATGGGTGGAAGGAAAGGAAAGGAGAGGGAAGGGTTTGGAGGGTTATGTATAGCTTTGTACAGTATTTTACTTATCCTCCCAAAAATGGGAGGAAATGGAAGGAAAGGGAAGGCAATGGCTGAAGCAGTATTTGTGATGACAATTTTACCCTCAAGATTATATATACATACAAGTTAGCAGCGAGATTGGGGAGGCTGAAATGAGTTGCCCTAAATTTTTTTTTTCCTTTTCTTGTGGGCCTGAGGAGACAATATAAATATACATATATATATATGAGTTGAGAACGAGAATATGGAGGCTGAAATGATATGCCTTAAAATATTTTTATTTATTTATTTATTTTTATTTTTATTTTTATTTTTTTTCTTGTGGGCCTAGAGACAGTATATATATATATATATATAAAAGGGTATAATGGTCAATTTATTAAAATAATTCCCTTTCTTTTCTTTCCCCTTCTTTTCCCAAACTTGATTATTGTCATTCCCTTTCTTTTCCTTCATTAATCAACCAAACACAATACCAAATTAAAATTATCCTTCCCTTTCCCTCATAACTAATGTTATCCTTCCCCTTCAAACCCACCCTACCAAACATAGCCGGTATAGGCCAACCCCATATTAACCACCAACTAGCAAAGACAATTTGTCTAAAAACAGATAACAGAGAAAAGACGTACCAATCCAACTCCGCCTCCCTAAACCATATAACCAAACTCACAGCTTTTATCACATGAGTATTACTCAAGCTGCACTTGCAAGGAATCAAGCATAAACCAAATAGCATAAGGCTCCCTGATTAGCGGACAATTGATTCTTCCAAATAGCTTCCAACTCCCACCAGTACAGCAAGAACACAAACACAAAGCAAAACATATCAGTCATGGGATAAGTTTTGAATGTTAAAAATATTCAGGGCCCTCTGGTCCAATACCTCCCATATAATCACTCTAGTACAATGAGCAGCATTACAAGGAGCTGGAATATTCATATTCTGTTTTCTAATTCTCCAAATGGTTCATAACGAAGTAGTAAAAATTTGCCTGTACAAAGTATTTTTCTGATTGTCATGCTTGAATTGATTTATAAACCATTGGAATAATTGATCAAAAGAACTAAATTGCCCCTGTCTCCAGTTAAAGGCTTCAAAGATCCAACCCCACAGTTCTTGAGCAAAACCACACTTGAAAAATAAATGATCGATAAAGTCTTCATCATTCATACAGTTATGACAGATGGCAGTTAAAGTGATATCTCTCTCTTGAAGATTCAGCAGGGGAGGAACTTTGTTAATGACAATCAAACAAGCAGTGAAGCAAGCTGCTGGTCTCTCTCTATTCCACATCAGTTTATACCATTTCTTCTTCTCATTGGCACGTCTACTGTTCTGCCATAAAGATTTAAAGCTGAATTGCCCATGTTTCCACACCACCTGATCGTCATCTGAATAGAGAGGGGTATTTGCAATACTATTCCATATATGATTAACCTCAGAAGACATATGAGTAGTTCTACACCAATTACCATTCTGTATCACAGCACTCAACCAAGCAGATATATGCAAATCCAAATCTCTGTCGAGTTTGCTCCCAAAAGTTTGCAGCAAGGATTTCCCATTCCACAACGGATCAATGAAGAGCCTCACATTTTGGCCATTACCAATTTTGAAATTAGATCCACCAATAATGGTTTCTCTAGTTTCCAGTAAATGATTACAGAATGGAGAGAATTTAGGTTGCTTTGTACAACAACAAATAGAAGTAAAAGCAGCATTCTGGGAATTTGTTCAGAAAAGGAAAAGGAGGTGGGTTGAGTGGTTTGAATCAATCTCCCCGAATACCAAAGCCACCTCCTCTTTAGGCAAGTCACAGAGCTCCATTTCAACAAGAGTAATTTCTTAGCAGATTCTCTACTACCCCAAACAAAAGATTTTAACTATCAATTGAGGAGCTTGTGAAAGCAGGGATTTTAAATGCCTTGCACCAATAGTAGAAAAAAGATGAAATAACTGTTTTAACCAACTCTATTCTACCAGCCAAAGTTAAGTTGACAGATGACCAACTGTGAATTTTAGAAGCAACTTTGTCTAATAATGGTTTACAAATCAGCATGCTTTAACTCTCAATCCACCAGAGGTAGCCCCAAATAATTCGTAGGAATTCTTCCCAATTTCATGTTTAGAATTCTTATTAAACTTCTCTTTCTTCTGAATTGACTTGGAGAAAAAGATAATGACTTTTCTCTAAATTGACTGACAAACCAGATAGATTTTGAAACTTATTGAGCAGAGAAGCAATGCAATTGGCTGTACCATAGCTACCAAGATCAGATCATCAGCATAAAATGAGTGAGAGAATTCAAAATTGGTTTTTTTTGGCAGTATGACACAACTGAAATCTCTGCACAGAAACCTCCTTTTGCACCAAAGCTGAAAATAATGCAGTGATTAACGTAAATAGCAAGGTGAGAGAGGGCACCCCCGTCTTAAACCTTTTTGAGGTTGGAAAAAGCCAGCAGGACGGCCATTAACAAGCACAATTCAGGCATTCTTTTATCCATCCAATCCATCTCGAGCCAAAACCATTATCTTGCAACAACTTAAACAGAAAGGCTCAATCTACTAAAATCACAGGCCTTCTTCAAATCTATTTTCAGAGCCATAGCTGATTTAACTCTTCTAACCCTCTAACCATTTCATTGACTATAGTGACTAATGACGTTATGATGATGACATGATGTATAATACTTCCTTTAATAAAGGCACTCTGCTCTTTCTCCACCAGCAAGTTCAAAATACTACTCAGCCTGGTTGCTAATAGCTTAGTATTCACTTGGTAGATTGTAGAACATAAAGAAATTGGCTTGAAGTCTACTGCCTAAACAGTTCTGTTTTTTAGTAAAAAGGCATATAAAAGATGGATTAAATGCCTTGTTCATTCTAGACTGGGAGAAAAAGTATTGAACAGCACTAATTACCTCTTTGCCAACTATATTCCAGAATTGTTGGAAAAATATGGGAGGAAATCCATCAGGACCTGGGCTTTTATCAGCCTCAAGCTGAAAAATAACATCTTTAATATTTTCTGTTGTGACCATCTCCTCAAAGGCTTGAGCTTCCATATTAGAGAGACATCTTCTAGGAGAGAGAGGGATTTGAGAAGACCGATTCCACTGATGTTTACTAGATCAGTAGCCCAATCACCTTGATCACTCTGAAGAGTGGTAATAGCATTCACAGCCCTGTGTTGAGCAATCTCCTGATATAATAGTTTAGAACATGTATCATTCTCTTTTAGGTAATTCTAGATTTCTGGGCCATTAAGACTTCCTCATTGAAAAGGGCACGATCCAGATCCAATTTAGCTGCAATCTCAGATCTTCACAGCTTGCTTCACATTCTGAAGCTTTTTTGAAAGTATATGCAAAGTATGTCCTACCACATTAATCTCCCAAGCCTGTTGAACCACATCTCCAATTCCTTCCTGCATACAACCTTCAAAAATTTGAAGGGTTTAGGCTTTGAAGCAATTTCATCTGTGGAGTGTATGATCAGTGCATAGTGGTCTGAGAGGCTAGCAGTAGACAATGCAAGCTTAGAATTTGGAAATTCAATACCCCATTGTTAAGCCCATCATGTATTATTCTACCAATTTGTTGTTTGATGCACCAAGTCCAAGTACCATTGTCAACAGCCATATCAGATAGCCCCAAGGTAATGATGGTATTATTGAATTCATTCATAATTCTCTGAGGTATAGCCATCCCCCCTTTCTTTTCATCATGTATTCTTCTACCAATTTGTTGTTTGTTGCACCAAGTCCGAGTACCATTGTCGACAGCCATATCAAATAGCCCCAAGGTAATGATGGTATTATTGAATTCATTTATAATTCTCTGAGGTATAGCCATCCCCTCTTTCTTTTCATCATGTATTCTTCTACCAATTTGTTGTTTGTTGCACCAAGTCCAAGTACCATTGTTGACAGCCATATCAGATAGCCCCAAGGTAATGATGGTATTATTGAATTCATTCATATTTCTCTGAGGTATAGCCATCCCCCCTTTCTTTTCTTCATGATATGACAGTATTCCAGTCCCCTAACAGAATCCAAGGTCTGTCAATCATATACTGACTTTGAAGGAGGCCTCTCCATAAATTTCTTCTTTGATCCTCAGTATTATTAGCTGCACAAACTGGGGAAGCAAAGAAAGGTTTTTTTTTTTAATCTTCAAGCTGAGTTACTTTTAGCAGCATAAACTGATCCCCATCACTGATTGTTTGAACATCATATATACAAGGATTCCACCCCACTATGATTCTCCCCATTTGATGAGATGTTAGTTATTGATCCACGCCCATCTAGAGCTGAATTTATGAGATTTCAATCTAGTTTCAAGCAAACACACCATATTTAAACTATATTTTATTTTATTTTTCATTTGGGGCCTATTCAGGCCCCTCATGTTCCAGCAACCTATCATGGAATATTTTTTTTTAGTTTGTGGGCGATTCCCACTGGACATTGTCCTAGTAACTCTATCCGAAGAACATACTACTTCCCTTTCCTTCATTTCGTCTTTCTTTGGGGAGGATGTAGAATTCTGTTTAGCAGCTCCATTTCGCTTTGTTTTTTAAGAGAACTGTAATGAACCCCTCATTGACATTCTTAGTCATTGGAGGACCTTCTTTGCTGTTAGAATTCTCTTAACTTTTCTGCTCATCGGAGTAAGAACCACTAATATTGATTGTTATTGATGTTGTTCGTTGTTGTTGTCTGGATTTTAAACTGTTCTGGCTACTTCAGTCAGAATTTGATGGAGGAGAAACTTACAAGAAAGCCATTGGTTTTCAAGAGGAAGATGGAAAGATTGAAAGCAAAGACAGTTACTTAAAGCGGATGGAATCATATATGAAATTATACGGAGCTCTTGTTCAGGTTTGTCTCTCTCATACCTGCATTCTGATTTTCATTAGTTCTCTAAATTGAAGTTGAGGAGAACATATCATTATGCTGGTATGGCAAGCATTTTATTGATTACGAAAAAGGAAAAACAGTTAATTTTGCCAATTTTCTTACTTGAAAAAAATAAATAAACAATTGCCAATTCCTCAGTTTTTTCTAGTTCCTAAAAAACACACGTTATGGCAGGCATAAGCTGGGGGCGTCCAAAATTTGGTCTGGAAGAAGGTTGGGCATGGGTTGCAAGATTCTTGAATGCTCTCCCTGCAAATCTATACACTGGAATCGCACTGCATGCGTTCCTCCAAGTAAGATGACACTTAAAATTGTCTTTGTACACTTTTAAACTTATACAATATTATGCCTAGGAGTTTAGCAAATATTTTTCTTCCCAGATGGCAGGGTTTGCTCTCTACAGAAGGTACAAATCTCAGTTCAAGAAGTTACTAAACACCATTTCATGTGACTTCTTAAACGCACTAAAAGAACGTGGTGGAGAAGATGGAAAGATTAATAAAGTCATCAAGGATATTCAGACTTGCATAGAATCAAACCAGTTCTGGGAGGAACCAGAAGGATGGCGCCTGGAGAGTTCTTTGTTATCGAACTCGCTTTTTCCCGAACCAGAGTATCAGGAGTAGTATTATCACCTGGGGAATCGGCGTCACTAGAGTATAGGATGTATAGGATGCATGGTTTGGTATTTGTCCCAGAATTACCTGGGCAGTTTTTTAAGTTCAATCTGATTTTTGTGTGTGTGTGTGTTATTGATGACTAGAACTTTCGCCTCTTGGATCTCGACAAAACTAAGCAATCAAAATGCCATTGCGGGAAAGTATATACACCATGTAGTTATAAAAAAAAAAAGAGAGAAACAACCCTACACCTGAAGCCAAAAGATGTCTACTTCAGCTCACTTGATGTATATACACCATGTAGATATCCAGATCATGCACTTCATGTATAATGTTAACATATAAATTTCTACATTTGAAAGAGTTAGCACTTAATAATAATAATAATAAAATCTTTTATTATTATTATTATTATTATTATTATTATTTATTTGCAAGTGGGAAAAGCGGTCACATCTGCTGTATGATTTGTTGTGATTCAAGGGTGATATCGAAGAGGTGCAATGACGCTATTCTGATTTGAGTAATTTTGTTAGTGGTGGACAATTAGGTAATTATTTAACTAATTAAGGGTATAAGAGGGATGTTGTTTGGTTTATAAATAATAGTTTTAATTACTTTTGTTGTTTGGTATTTTTTTTAATAAATTAATAAGTGTATAAGCTAAGGAGATTGATTCTTCCTAGCATGATTTTCCGCCACGTAGTACTGGCGGAGTGCGCTATTGAATTTAAGGCGTTTATGGTGTTAGAGCCTAGAGGTGAGGTGAAAGCAGTCCGTGAGTTAATAATGCCGGGCGTTAGTTAGTGGGTAAGGCATTTATGGCGTTAAGAGGTGAGGCAAGATCAGTCCGTGACCTAATAATGACAGTTGGTGTTGCTTTTTCAAAGTCGGAATAGCAAAATTGATATATATTTATGACAAGAATGTTAGGATTAGTTTGATGTGATGGAAATAATGGAAGGAGAATGGAAATTTTTTATTTTATTTTATTTTTTTTGTTTTTAGTGCTAATTTTAAAGTTGGAATCATTATTCTCCACTATTTTTTAAAAATGTTCATTCCATTAAAATCATTCCACCTTTAAACAAAAGGAATGATCATTTCATTCTTATTACATTTCCATCTCTATTCTCATTGTATTTCAATTCATTCCACTACATCAAACTAATCCTTGGTAGAATGGGAGTTACAAAGATTGAAAGTCGTTTTTAATAATATTTGGGTTATAATTGCATTTGTATTTTTGCGAGTTCTTATTTTTTTGAGATTTGACAACACTTCTAGTCTGAAATTTGAAGCCATTTTTATTTTATTTTATTTTTTAATTTTTTTAACGACACCCTTTAGCATTTTCTTCATGCAACAGATGTGTTCATCAAATTTTATAAAATGATAATTATAATATATTATTAAAATATAGTAAATTATCTTCATTGTTCCAAAATAGTTATTTAAATTTAAAATTTACGTTATTAATTTTTAATAATTTTAGTTTATCCCCGCTTGCCTTAATGTTATAAGGGTGTGTTTGAAAAATCATTACCTACCACTCTAACGAAAAATATTAAAAACTAAACAAGGTTAGGTTCTGAAAAAATAACTTTTTTTTGTGGGATGAACAGAAGAGAGCAAATATGACAAATTTTGTAGGATGAAGGAACAAAGTTGAACGTAATTTACAAATATGACAATTTTTTTGTAGGATGTAGGAACAAACTTACGTAATTTGTGCTTGTCAAAATAATAATGATAATGATGGGTAGTTAGAAGAGATAGAGGTATTATTAAATGAGAACAAAAAAAAAAATGATGTTTCGATGAATTTTAATGAGGTTGTTTGTTGTTGCCGTGGCATACAGGATTAGGAAAGGTCACAAGGGATGAACTTAACCCTCTCTCTCTCTCTCTCGTTCTCATCACCATAAAATGACAATGGACATGTCGTCTGTCACAATAAGTAGGACTAATTCTAATCCTCAATATGATTGATTGGTATTGTACTAAGTAAGTAGATTTATTTTTAAATAATTATAAAATAAATATAAACTCTGGTACTCCTGGACTTTCCTTACCCTACCTCCTCCACGGAACTCGCCTTTTCATTCTTCATTTCCATTTTCATGGCGAAGAAGAAGGAGAATGTGGTGGCGCTCGCCGTCTTCCTCCTCCTCTTCCTCCATACAGAGGCTGCAGAACACAAACAGTTGACTCAAAAACAACAACAACAATTGCTACGCTTCGACGGCAAAAAGGGGGAGTTTAAAATACTCCAAGTGGCTGATATGCACTATGGCGACGGCAAGACCACTCCTTGTGAAGACGTCTTCCCCCAACAGCTACCCTTTTGCTCCGATCTTAATACTACCGCCTTCATCAACCGCATGATCCTTGCCGAGAAACCCAACCTCATCGTTTTCACCGGTACCCTACTTCTCTCTCTCTCTCTCTCTCTCTCTAATCTTCCATTTTTCAGCTGTTATTGCTTCTTCCGCTTTCTTCTCTACCATTTCCTTCCTTTTTCCAACTCAACTCTGTTTTGCTCAATTCATTTCGATTATCTATTTCAAATCAATCAATATTATGCATAAATTCATTCATTTCTAACAATTATTGTATAATTCTTTTTTGGGTTTCCACATAACAACATTGGAGGCCTTATCTATCTATCTAATTGCACAACAATCCTAGTAAAAATAACTATCATGTCTATCTTTCTTTTGTACCTCTCTCTAATTTAACATCCTCCTCAGCTTTAAAATTAACTTCACTTTGCCAATTCTTTTTTTTTTTTATTATTATTATTTTTGTTTATGCAATTTTTTCATTGATGTTTGTGCAATTTTTAACATTACACACACATAATCATTCTGTTATAATAGCCGAGTATGGTTTTATCAAAGGTCCTTTAGAGCCTATGCACATGGTGCTCAAGGTGAGGCGCGCCCCTGAGTGAAACGATGTGCATAATTAAAATTTTAATTACTATCAAAGCATTCATATTCCATATTACAAGAGCAAGTGTTGCTTATGTATGAGCCTAAAACCTAGCTGCGCGCCTTTGACTACACTGGCCGAGTAGTAATTCAACTGTATGCCTACTATTCGTCAAATATAATCCTTCCAGAAAACTTTATGCATCCGCATGAATCAATGTAGTTAACATGTTTGGGTATTTACCGAATGCAGGGGATAACATCTTCGGGTTTGATGCAACGGATCCAGCCAAATCCATGGATGCTGCATTTGCTCCCGCAATATTGTCTAAAATCCCATGGGCTGCTGTTCTGGGAAACCATGACCAAGAATCCGCCCTCTCAAGGGAAGGTGTCATGAAATATATTGTTGGCATGAACCACACCTTGTCTCAGTTCAATCCTTCTGACGCCCACATCATTGATGGTTTTGGAAACTACAATCTGGAAGTCCACGGGGTTCACGGTTCCAATTTTGTAAATAAATCACTTCTCAATCTCTACTTCCTTGACAGTGGGGATTACTCCACAGTTCCATCCATCCTTGGCTATGGCTGGATCAAACCATCCCAGCAATTTTGGTTTCAACGCACTTCTATCAAGCTTAAGGTACTAACCTCACTTTTTTAGGTGCATGGATTTGTATCAGTTCTACCATCCAGCAATACCCCCACATTCTCTTTTAGTCAACTGCGCTCTCTCTCTCTCTGTGATCAACTAACTATGGCCTCCATGATGTTACAGAGGATATTCAATAACTAAGCAGCAGATAGCTTTTAGTGAACTTCCACTTGATTGATTTTATGTACTAATAATAATCTGTTACTTATTTTTCTGTTGCCCTTCTTAATGCAGAAAGCATACATGAGCAAGCCAGAGCCTCAGAAAGCTCCTGCTCCCGGCATCGCATACTTCCACATTCCATTGCCTGAGTATGCGAGCTTCGACTCGTCAAATTTCACAGGTGTGAAACAGGAAGGCATTAGCTCTGCTTCTGTAAACTCTGGCTTCTTCACGACCATGGTGGAAGCTGGGGATGTGAAGGCTGTTTTCACAGGCCATGATCACCTCAATGACTTCTGTGGTGAGCTCACTGGTATACACCTCTGTTATGCTGGAGGTTTCGGTTATCATGCTTATGGGCAGGCTGGATGGTCAAGGAGGGCAAGGGTGGTTGTAGCCTCTTTGGAGAAAACAGCAAAGGGTGGTTGGGGACCAGTCAAGTCTATCAAAACATGGAAGCGCCTTGATGATGAACACCTCACTGCTATCGACGGTCAGGTCCTTTGGAGCAAGAGTTCTGCTGTTGGTAAGCTTCTTTTGAATGGCTTCTTCCCTCTATGGTTCTAGTCTTTCTGGTACATCTTAGAGTAGGACTGTAAATGAACCAAGCCGAGCTTCGGATTGTATGGACTCGCACTCACTAAAAGCTAAAAAGTATAGGTTCAAGCTCGTTAACAAACTATATATGTGTGCGCGCGCGCGCGTATGTACCTACTCACTAACCATTTTGACTGGTGGAAAATTGTGGCTGATCTCTTTTGTGACTCCCAATCTCCATCATCTATCTCTGATCACTCCTCATAGTACTTAAGGTGCTCATGATACACCAGCACTCACTCACAATATGAGATATGGTGCGTGTGAGAGAAAAGCTTGCAATAGCTGGTGGTGTAAGGTAGTTGTTTAGGTTATTTTGTAAGGTAGTCGTTTAGGTTATCGTTGGAAAGGTAGTTGTTTAGGTTATCTGTGGAAAAGGGTCGTCCGCATGGTGCTTTGGTGGAGGGATGCTGTAATAGCCCACTCCACCACATGGTATGTTATTGTCCGCTTTGGGCTTGAGCCCGCTTGGTTTTATTCTTGAGTTTTACCTCAAAAGGTCTGGAGATAACACCAGCACATATAAGCACTTCACATTCACCTTACTCAGGCGATGTGGAATCATGTACCCGTAGCTTGCCAGCATGGTAGCCTGCTAGTGCCTTGCACCCACCCACTCACAAGGTCACCACAAGCGGTGCTGCATTTCATTGGGTCTGGAGGGAAAAAAGGAGACGTTTAGGACTAGGGTTTGATGTGTTTTTCCCTGTTACGGGATATGATCCTATGTGGGAATATAGATTGCTTGTAATAACAAATCCAACTGTTCTTACTTATATCAATAATGAGCTAATGGGCTATCTTTGTGGGATGAAGTAATGAACATCAAAGACCATAATGGGCTGGAGTTTGTGCTGAACTTTATATCATATCGACTAAACTACTCAGTACAAGAAATTCAAATTTTGTGAGCCTTAAGTATACGAGCTTGTTCATGAGCTTGGCAAGCCGAGACAGTAGTGTTCAAGCTCGGTTTGTTTATTAAACAAGCTTGAAAATTGACCTTGAGCTTGGTTCTTTTATTAATGAACAAACACAAGCCAAGCTTTTAACAAGCAAACTCCGAGCTGTTCATGAACAACTCGGTTCATTTGCAGCGCTATCTTAGAGGTAGACAGTAGCAGTGCTCTAGAAATGTTAAGAATGATTGTTCATATAATTTAGGATTTTCTGTCTGAGAGACATCTATTGACATGACTAGGCTAAGAAGATGACCCAATCTCAGAACTATGATAGGGATGTTCTTTCTCCTGTAATTGAGTTCTTATTGTTTGTCCTTTTTGAAGGAGATTCATGTCAATTTAATGGTATAAGTGTGGTACATTGCATGACTTAAATACTTACCAAAAAGACATTGGATGGCTGACATTAAAATTATTTCACATATATCTAGACCATTATCCTGCTATTATTGGCTCGTTCAGTATATTGTATGTAAGTTTAATGGTTTTTATGTAATGTTCATTATGTACTTCTACATTATACTATTTTATTTTCGGCTTGTTCACATTATACTCAGAAGCAGATGGTGGTGCATGCCTAATTATGACATACGACCTACATGACATAAGTTTAACATATTGGACACATTTTTTATGATTTTAGTTTACCCGAAGATTTTTGATGAATTTAGAATTGCAGTATTTGGCATCAATGACTTGTGCAATTTGTTTCAACCTAGGTTCATGTGATATGCAGTAAATCACATTATTCTATGTGAAGAGTCAAGAAAAAGTTATTACAAGAGTTTACTGGTGTCTTCAGCTTTGCCTTGACTTATTTGTTTTTTTTTTGTCCACCCAAGAAGAGTTCTCTCTGTATTTTATTTTATTTTGCTGGCTTTTGCTAGGTAAGTGCACACAGACTGACTGTGCCTCAAACAAGACTTGAACCCTCGACCTCCCACGTGGGAGGAGGATATAGCACTTGAGCTAAACGCTTGGTAAAGTAATCTGGCTTTAATTAGTTTCTTTCATCTTTGTTGTGCCAGCCACCATCTTGGCCAGCGTTGTTTAAGACTTGAACCCTCAACCTCCCACGTGGGAGGAGGATATAGCACTTGAGCTAAACGCTTGGTAAAGTAATCTGGCTTCAATTAGTTTCTTTCATCTTTGTTGTGCCAGCCACCATCTTGGCCAGCGTTGACAGATTTCCTTTTTTTATGAGGTTGTATGAATGTCATTGTATCGGTGTGGAAACCCAATATATGTGTTAGGGTCGTTGTCACATAGATCATTACATGTCCTCCTCGGCCTTTTCTCATTTCCTACTTTTGTTTGCTTTGAACAGGAAGCCGTAGAAAGAAACAGGGTGGCTTCGTTTGATCGATGCAGAAAAGTAAGATATACACACAAATTGACAACCACAGCAAAATGGGTTCAGAAGTAAGTTTTATGTTTGGTCCAATGGGAATGTTTTGTTTTGTAGTTTATAATGTTATATGAAGGTTGGTTAAATTTGTAAGATTTAAGTGAGAAGTGAACACTGAAGGTAATTTTGTATGTATGAGAAGGTGATTGGTAATGGTAAAGAATTTGATCTCCTAATCTCTCTCACTAGTTTAATGATCTCCAAGAAAACTAAAACTTTTTTTGCAGTCCATTTAACCAGCCAGGTGCCCGACCCTTGTGGATGATGCATCTGTTGTTTGGATAAATTGAATGGTAATTTTGTATGTATGAGAAGGCGTATTCATGAGATTATTTTTCCCACTGGGTTGGTCATTGCAAGTAAGAAAACATTAGATTAGGCACAGACTTGTTTTTAAAGGAGAATTATCCTTAATTCTGAGCTTCATTCATGAAATTTCTCTTTCTTTTTACCATCCTTCAATCAACCTGCCCCGTGAGGCTGTGATGAACACAATAAGTGTGACATAACTGACAACCATCATATATATATATATATATATATATATATATATATATATTTATTTCACCAGTCATAATTTGCTGAAATAGCTGCTTGTTTGCTTCGTCACTCTGGTTTGCAGTGGCACCAAAAAGTCCAGATTATGTGAGTCTATGCAATTGGTTAATAACACTCACGTATATGTTACTGTCTGTGCTGGCCTGCTTTAGGAAACGGCTGATAGCTGAGAGACAGATTCTTGTATCTCGGTCAAAATAAAGCGCTCGCTCACTCATTCTACTCATTGCCTCCACTAGTGATGACACCTATACCTTTTTATTTATTTATTTTTTTATTTATTTTTTTTGGGCAACAAACCAAACCAGAAAATTCATTAAACACCCAAAAGAGAACATTGGAGTGAGAACATTTAACAACCACTTGGGCCATATGTTCTACTCTAAATCACCACAATTGGCTTTCAAAGCCTCTCTGTTCAACAAGGAAAGACCCAAACAAGACGCAAGAAGAATAGGAACAGAACATCTTCAAAAATTTCCACAAGAGCCTCTTCCGAGGGATGAAGAGCCATTACTGGTTTGCAATCCCTCCTAAATCATTGAATACTCGGGCTTTATAGGCCCTTAGTCAGTTGGGTCAAAAGTTCAAAACTATCACCCTTAATTTTAGAAACAAACAGGGGGCCATTAATCAGGGGCCAGCTGTCACCATCTAACTCCTCCATGTGTCCACTATTATTTTTTTTCGGCATACAAAAGCAAAATACTGTTAGTGAAAAAATCGGATCACAATAATCTATAACTTTTGCCCAAGCCTTTGGGTAAATAAAGAAAAAAAAAATACATTAATTATAAGAGGAAAGAAATAAAATGATAGTAATAATTTTTATTTATATTTAGATAAATTATGAGAGAGAGAAAAAAAAAAATAACAAGAATTAAATTATTATCATAACTCTTTTATAAAATGTTATAAGATGAGAATCAAATTAATTAAAAATATTACTTACTATTTTCTCAATTCTTTCTTTCATCTCCATTAAAAATTATCCAAACAAGATTTCTACTATTCTTTTCTTTTCTCTTTTTTTCAAATCCCTCCAAATCATTTAATTTTTTTTTCCCTTAGTTGGTACTCACACACACTGCATCCACTGAGATTCAAACCCCTGACCTTCTTTTGAAAAGTAAGAGCCTTATATCGCTTGGCCACAGGCCTGTTGGTCCAAATCATTCAATTCAAACGAAGCCTGAGAATATAACAAGCGTGCATGCAAGATTAATTTGAGAGCACTGACAAAAATTAAACTTACTTAAGAAGTTTAAAATTCCATAACTTTTTTATGATCTTTTACAATTTCGCACTGAGAAAAATTAAACTTACTTAAGAAGTTTAAAATTCCATAACTTTTTTATGGTCTTTTACAATTTCTTTAGGAGTTCAATCCAGGTACTTTTATGAGTATTAAAATTCGCGTATGCAAAATATAAATAATAGAAAATTTAATACCAAATGAGGAGTTTTTTCTAAATTTTTATTTTTGGACATGAGTCTTTACTGAATTTTAAAAATCTTATTGAGCAAATGATTTTAAAAAGTGAGGAATCTTTTGACATTTACAAGGTTTTATTAAGGTTTTTTATGAATATTATAAAAATTCAGCGGGGACAATTTTTAGAAATATCAAAACTTGAAAGTAAAAAATATAAATAAATTAAAAATCCAGTCCCCCACTAGTCCCAACGTGGCTGTCTGCATGCGCTGCGCTGACTGAAGCTTCAGTTATGTTGACGCCAACAATCATCTCTCACAATATAATCCCATGATCTGCGGGCAACGAACAGGCCCATTCATACTCACGTCACCAGTCATCGTTAAATAATTGCGCATGTATTAAAAATAATTATTTATGTTAAAAATGTCCTCTAAACTTTTATTTCTAAAAATAATTATTTATGTTAAAAATGTCCTCTAAACTTTTATTTCTAAATATCAAGATATCTTTCTTAAATCATAGTAATTTTGTACACGTTGTTATTATAAGTTAAATGTTATATATTTTGGGAGCTAGTATCGGCGCTCCATTATGATATAATTTTAATTTCACAATTGCCCTTTCTTTTAGGATCCATTTGGTTAAACGAAAATTTATGATGGAAAGTGAAAGAAAGTAGAGTGAAAGAAAGGAAAATTAAGTTTTCTGCATGCATTTGGTTAGTAAGAAAAATTTTCAAGAAAGTTGTGAAAAAATATTATTTTATTAATTTGGAAAGTATGAAAAGGAAAAGAAAATGATTTACTTACCAAAACTACCCTCATGATTTCAAATATTAAAAAATTAATTAGTTTTGTGTTGGATGAATCATCTCTATACCTAATTATTTATATTAATTTTTAGTCATTAAATAGTAAAATAATGGATTAATAATAATTATTATTATTATTTAAATTCATATTTAAATTAGACAAACTAAGGAAGATGCATTTTAGTTGTCAGATTCTTTTTATTTTCTGTTTTCAATAATAATTATTTATATTTACATGTAGAATATAATTCATTTATTATAACTTACTCATGTTTTATCATAAAATAATGGATTAATAATAATAATAATTATTATTATTATTTATATTCATATTTAAATTAGAAAAACTAAGGAGGACTGCATTTTGGTTGCCAGATTTTTTTATTTTGTGTTTTCAATAATAATTATTTATATTTATATGTAGAATATAGTTCATTTATGATAACATATTCATATTTATTGAATTATTAAATATATCTTTTTTTTAGCCACCTCAAAGAAACATTAAATGGCAACTCTAGGATAAAAATTGTTACGCAAAAGTAACATATTTTATAATTCATGCATAATAATTTTATGGTTAATGTATAATTTATCAGTCCCTTTTCATATTTTTTATGAATATGAACCACTTCTATGCAAAGTTTTCTTTGCAAAAATCACATAGTATAAAACTCTATTTAGTTCAAAACTATATAGATAGAAAAGAATAAATATTATATTGATTTCCATCCATGTGAAATTGTTATGTCATATAAATAATATGATGACTCAAATTAATCTCTTTTCATATTTGTATTGAATATTAATAAAAATTAAAAATTATATTATTTAATATTCTACCATTCAACTCTTAATTTATTTCCAAAAATTATAGGTAACGACCTATTGGATATAAACAAATTATGTGTCCCAATATGTAATAATTGTTGGAATTTCTAAGTCTGAATTTAATAACCACGCTATATTTGTTATGTGAAAAAAAATAAAAAATGGAGAGGCATAATAGGAAATTTGGAAATAAAATAACAGTTTTGTGAGAAAGTAAACTTTCTCGTGTTTTATACGGGGAAATATTTGGGAAAATTTATTGATGCGGGAATCCCACTTTCCCAAAAATTTTCCTTTTTCAGGTAACCAAACTCCCAAAAATTAATTTTATTTTTTGTTTCTTTTCCTTTCTACCTACTTCACCCTAACCAAACAAACCCTTAAAGTTAGATTTTTTGCGCCAAAAACTAGAATTCTTGCGCATAAATTTCTTTAACTTCTCTCGTGTCCCCTCCCATTCTCTCTCTCTCCCTTTTTTTCTCTCCAAAAAGGAAGATCTCACTAATGATATAGTGTTTGAGTTAGAAGAAGTTATAGAACTTGTTAAGACAACTTATATTAAAGAAAGCTCAAAAATCTATGAATCAGCCAACCCTACTATTTTGTTCTTTTGTTCTACTTTTTTCTTTAGAATATATATCTTTGAGTTGATTTTGAAAATACTTTTTCTTTGATGAATCTATCCATGTAATGACCCGGTCATTTTCTTTTTTTTTTTTTTTTTTTTTCTGATTTTCACGGATTTTTTTTTTTTTTCCGTTGATCTTTTCCTTTTTGAGTTCAGTTTCTCATCACTTAGTATCATCTCGAGTACTCGAAAATAGTTTCTGAGACTCTTTTCTTAAGATTGACAACTTCCTTTAAGGACTGATTCATTTCCGCATTTTTCGTTTTTCTACACTTTCACTTTTCGATCTTTTCCCTATTTCGTCTTTTCCCCGTTCGTTACTTTTTGGAAAAACCTCACTTCTTGTGTTGGGAGTTGGTTTCTGACTTTACGTATCTTCATTCTCAGTGGTTTCTACGAAATACGTAACTTTATTTTTGTAGTAAAGTACTCTTGTTGTTCCCGGTGTCCATAGGAGCATGGATATATAGTTTTTCAGAATCTTTTTATTTTCTTGGGGTTTTTTTCATAAATATCCTTTGAAGATATTTTATTTCAGGGGTTGTTAAGAAAATATTTTTGAATGATATTTTCATTCTGGGCCATTAATACAGTTCACTTTTTGGAGGGGTCATTGTGCAATTAATGAAAGTTATTACTAAATGTCTTATTTTGAGCATGAATCCTCGTATGGGATTCATTTTCACTTTTCGTCGAATCATGTACTCTTAGAATTTCCTTCTAGTCGTTTTTCTTCAGTTTCAGGTTTTCCAGCCCCGGTTAGTGCAAAACTTGTTTGGGGCATATCTTTCTGCTCGGGACTCGGTTTTCGATGTCGTTTCTTCCGTTATTCATATTTTCTCATTTTAAATCTTTTTCGTCCACAGAGTTTTGTCATTTGAGCTCGTCTGCTCAAATTTCACTTTTCCGG